GTTGGAGCTACCATGGAGCTACCGAAGAATTAGTGAACGATTTAATGTAACTCACTCAACCATTTCACGAGTTATACAACGGTATAGAGATACTGGGAGTAATTGTCGCAGGCCGGGACAAGGCAGGAATCGAAGAACCAATCCGATTCAGGAACGTTTTTTAAAACTCTCAACATAAGACAACGTTTCGTAACAGCTCGGATCCTTCAAACTCAGCTCAGAGATACTAATGGTCTACAAGTTTGCACAGAAACTAGCATCTCTATTTGACATTTACTGGTACGTTGTTAACTCTTTGTTAAAATATACAGAGTGTTCCATTTAAATTAAACAAGTTATTGGTTGCGATGTTTAAACAAATTTTTAAACAAGTTATTGGTTGCCGTTTAAGGCTACTAATTATTTGATATAAATTTTTGGACGCTCTATACAAGGTAGTATAATTTTTTATTATTCCAACAATATCATATTGTTATGTTGTACAATTATTTATTGATCAGATATTGATCTGATCAATAAATAATCTTGAGTAAATATACTACGTATTATAAACTTTGATTACCTTGGACAAAAAATGGAGCCTTAAATTTTTTACTGCAATTTCAGAAAATTATAATAAAAAGAAAATATTTCAAAAACGGTAAGGTTTAAGTGTGATAAACTTTAATCAAATTTACCTTTATTTCTATCGTAGAATATAATATTTTTTACTTATTTGAGACTCTAACTAAACACTATCTTGCAAAAATATTTTTAAATTGTAGCTCTAATAGTTCTTCAACGAACCCAAAACTTACAATTTGTAAAAATCTAACTATTTAGCTACAGTACTCCGTGTCGTATGTAGTGAACAACCCTGTATTATCATCATTTCAGTAGTATAAACCGTAAATATACAAACGTAAAAAACCCGCAACACTGTATGCCGCTTTTGATTTTGTCTCTGTCTGTCTACCGGTCATTTATATTATTTTCTGTCACACGCATTAAAATCCAGACCACATAAATTGGATGACCAGCAGGGTATGTTCAAAATACTATTAAGGCAGACCTATGGCAGACCCCTCAGACAAACAATTTTCTAGTTAATCCGTTCTTATGGTCTTTCTAACTATAGTCGATGGATAATATAACATCTGCAGACGGTGGTTCAACAGTGTCATCATTACTTTTTTGTAAGCTTTGTTCCTAGTGAGAAACTTAAAAATATCATTTTACCACACGTTTCGTTTGTGAAATCTTAACGAATTTCAATCTTTACGCATTGTTTGAGTTTTCCCATCGAAACGAAAGAGGAATGTTCATTGCAACGATTCAGTTCATAGTTGAAGCTGACTGATTTCTATTTAAGTTACATTATCATTAAGGTGGGTTTTAATTACACCTAGTAAGCGGGAAGGAATCCGAGTATGATCATTACTAAAACGAGTAAAATGTGATTTATGTTTACTTGTAAAAGTAAGTATTATTGATATTAATAATTATTTTTCAACCAAATTATGTGTCTATACCGGGTGCGTCTCAAAAGTGGCTCACCCCTATAATTTTTTTATGTTTTCAGTTAAAAAACGAGATTTGGTATGTGACATAAATTAGGATTGATTAAGTACTCAATTGTTTTCGATCACTTCCTGTTTCACCGGAAATGACTACAACTTTTGATTTTTAAATGGCACCCTCGGTATTTTTTTACCTTATTCGATAGAAAATAACACTCTGAATAGAATGACATATCATATGTCAACTTTTGACATTTTCGTATATGGTTTATTTGAAATTATAACTTGCGGTTCGTAACGAAAATTTGACTTGAAATACCAAATTTGTGGTATCAAATTATTCGTAAAAAAATGGTTTTTGCAAATATGCTAATGAGCCACCCTCGTTCGATTTGAAAAAAAAATGAGATATGATTAAAACATATATATATATAGTAACCAAAGTATATCGACTCCAAACTGCATTCTGTGAAGCCAAGCCGGTAAAATGGGTATATAAATCTTCTGAAGGAATTTGCATAAGTCGCTCAGTTAGCTGTGCTCAAGCGTAGTGCGCAAGCCTAGATTTTGAATTATCGATCGGATCACCAGACCAATAAGACACTAGACGCTAGCACCAGCTGTTCATTCGTACGGCTCCGTCCAACTTCTACAATTCCGTCCTTCTACAATTACGTCCGACAATTGGCTAATCCTGGCTAATCGATATTTGGAATTTTGGAGTTGCGCTGTTGCGCCAGTATCTGTCTAACAGATGAACTTATGTGAAATATACATGAACCGGTTATCTAGTTGTCTCTAACTCGGCTTCAACTCCAACACATTGCAGTGATAGGCGATAATCAGTATAGTATACGGATTAAAAATACGATTTGGGAATTTTTTAACCTGCAAGGACAAGACACTAAAAATATTAGACGATTAAATCAATTTTCCCAAGACTCCTTGATTAAGAATTAGTTTTTTTAATATGTATAGCTATGGCACTCTAGATTGAAATTTAAAATATGATTTTTTATTAAGCGAGAATGTTAAATGTTGATATATGATATGTCATTCTACTCTGTGTTCTACTCAGACCAAAGTGACCAAAAACAATTGAATATGTCAATCAATCCTAATAAACGCAACCGCAAAGTCTAGGGATATTTTAATTTCTGCCTATATTTTTATTTCCGTAATTTATATAATTTGTAGCTGCGAAAATCCATGAATTCTTTCAAGTACAAAAAAGAACACCTCATCGCTATTTCAGTTTGTTTACTTTTACTAAGTGCGTCTATTTTGCTGTATTTTTGCAAAACATAAATAAAATATTTTTAAGTGAAATTTAAGGTACCTTGTGGTCACCGCAATCTCCAGATTTAAATCCCATTGAGCATGTGTGCGATATGTTACAACGAAGGGTTGTCGCGAATTACGTATGGGAATACCAAGGGACAACAGAAGAAATCTTTTTTTAGCTCTACAAAATGCCTGGAATGAAATACCACAGCCTGACATCGATAACTTGATTTTGAGCATGCCCAGGCGATGTCAGGCAGTTGTGAATAACAGAGGTCATACAACTTATTAAATAAACATTTGTGACACAATAAATAATGTGTTTGCTACTTAATTAGTTAATATTTTTTTATGTTTTTTTTTCAAAAGTTTAGTTTTGGATTAGAATAAAACAATGTTTTGTATAAAATTACTTTATTTTATCCCACAAAACACTAAAATTTTATAAAAAGAAGAAATCGAACAAAAATGAGCTATTAGAGGCAATTTTGAAAAAATACCCCTAGACTTTGCGGTTGTATGTATACTAAGGGCTGGCAAAGGTTAGTGTTGGGTCGAGATTTCCGTATGTAAGAAGAGTACAATGCGTTTATAATGTACTGAACAAAGAGAGGACAGTAAACACGTTGCCAAACGTATGATATAAACCGAGAAACTGTGCACATTGCTAAGAGACGTGGAAGGGGATATAGCAGATTTGTCGCAGTTGACCGGTCGACCCAATCAATACCTCTGTCAGTACTTAAAATTCTAGGGAAAGTGTACGTCATGCGTTCAGCTTCACGATTTAATTACGTCTCGTGATACTTAAATTGTTTATTTATTAACGAGTCGTTGTAATTTTCTCTATAGCTTGAATTTTTTTAAGTGCAAGCTAGAAACACTTGCATTTTTGGTAAAAATAAGTGGAATTGAGTGGGTGTTTGATAGTGGTCGCGCTATTAGAACTCTGAATTTAAAAATCGATATCTCGAAATCTATTAGAAATAATAGATTGTAGTTTTTTCAAGAACTTTGTTAATATTTCTGCTGTATTTTCTTTGTAGACAGTATGTGAAAATCGTTATCAATAAAAAAATTACACGATTGCTGAAAATTGCTGTGCTCTAAAAGTAAATGGATTAATTGTTTACAATTTTTGAATGGAAAAAACAACCTTATCGAATTTTTCTTATGTAAACATATTATTGTAAAATATCCGATCTTGAAAATAAAAAAAAGTTTCAATATCTAATGTGGTTCAATATCTTGAATTATGGTCTATTATGTGTTAAAAAGTTGAGTTTTTAAATTATCGCGATTACTGATTTTTTTCTGAAAAAATAAAAAAGTTCTATGGGTGAGCCACTTTTGAGACGCACCCGGTATAAAATTGTTAAGTTTTGTTTATAAATATCTTAAATATTTAGAAAATATTTTAAAGAAAACTAACCTAATAAAATAAACTACCTAAATGATTTGTCCTTGGATTTGTATTAAAACATCCAAAATTTTTAACACTAAATGAACAGAACCAAACTTTTTTATAAAACTTCTTTAATTTTTACTTGCTAAATTTTAATTAAAACACATTCAAATTTGTTAAAGAATGTTAAGAAGAAGTTATAAGATGATTAATAAAGATTGCTTTAGAATTTCCAATTCCTATAAGTTTTCAAAATATTGACTCTTAAATAAGTGCAAATATTTTAGGGTTAATATATTTCGATCCCAGAAAAACATGTGTTTTTTTCAGGAAAAACATTTTGAGAATTTAGAATAAAAAAATTTTCTTACAAAAAAATTTGGATTTTTTTTTAAATTTTTAGTTAAAAGACAATAATATCATGATAATATGGCAACATAGATAGTAGATTAAATTCAGAAGAACGAAAACCCTGAAAAATGAGGTGGTTCTCAAATTTAAGCAAAAAATATATATTTTTTAATTTTTAAAGTAAACTAGCTCGGCTATTTTGGACTTTTTATACTATTTGAAAAACGGTAAAGAGAAAATATGTTTCTTTTATCGAGATTTACCAGCCCTGAAAATATTTGCACTTACTTAAGACTCACTCACCCTGTATAAAGGGGTGGTGATGTGTAATTGTTTGGAGCGTCGCTTTTATTTGTTCTCGCCTACTAATCCCGGTATTTACAATTTACAATTGCTTGAACAGTAAAGTTTTACAACAATTTGTTGTTTTTTTTACTAATATATTTTCATTTCTTTTTCAGATCAAAGAAACAGATCAACTTCCTAAAATTATTTGCCTCAAATGTTCAGAACAATTAGAGTCGTTTTCGAAGTTCAAAGATGTCGCCTCTAAAGCAGAAGAAGTTTTAAATAAGTTTTTAACTTACGCTAATCAGTTACACGCTAGTGAAGAGGTAAGTTGTATTAGGGGATAAGACAAGGGAAAATATCTCATTAGTTATTTTAATTATAATTAAATGAATACATCTTAAAGTATGAATATCTACAAAATATCTTACAGTGAAATGGATTAATTTTTAAATTAAAGCATTCGTTACGTTCGCAACGTTCTTGAAAAAATGATTTATTTTACACTATAATTTTTTTTATTTCAAAATTAGTCGGCATATAAAAGTTATAATAAAATATAAAGGTGAGTAGCTTTTTTGAGCACCCTATATTATGATATGTCAAAATAAAAATAATATCTAAAAACTGGAATTGATTTGTGACATCCATATGAAAAACATAATGAAAAACTGCCCTTTGCTCCGCATAGCAGTTTTTATAGGAGCCTATATTATGTATATGAAAAACTGTGAACTGTTATGGAAAATGTTCTTTAATATTACGATTTTGGTTTACCAGGAATAATATTGGTGTTGGTTCCTACACAATCAAAGAACTTAGAAATTTGCCTCAATAATCACGTAATAATCATATATTATAGTGCCTAGGCCTAGAATCTTCGAAGTCACCTTAAATTCGTCTCATCAGGTGATGAAAGCCCTAATAAAAGGTTCAAGAATAGGCGAAAAAGCATAATTTCAGGGTTAATATCGCCCCTAACGGATTCTAGCGGTTTTTATTGTACAAATCTAGCGGGTATCCATCTTCCAGACTTGGCAACCCTATTTGTGACAGCTCTGCAGTAGGCCCAATTACAACATACCGTTAATTAATAGATGTATCGAAGAAATGACTCAGTTAAATGGGATATCTATTGGTTTTTATGTATGTAACGCATTCCATATGATACTTTGGTATGAAAAATCACACTAGCAATGTCTTGCTGAATATATGCAAGCAATACGCGCAGTCGGTATCTTTGATCTCCTAGATTTGAATAACCTTGAAGCCCATTAGGTAAAATGTATTTATTAGTGCTGAATAAATAAAGAAGAAAAATTACGCCTGCGAACCGTTCAAAACCTTTAAAAGCTACTAGGCATACCGGTTATCGCGGATATTATCATATGACTTTAATTTTAATGGTTATTAGACATAAACAAGATTGCAATCATCAATCATTATAAAATTGAAGTCTTTCGATTTTCAGAGCGTTACAAAGAGCATATTAAATTTTTAGGTTTTCAGTTATAATTAATGCTGGTTTAAAGTATGATAAATATACACGGTGTCCTATATAATAATGTACATATACAGGGTGGTAGAATACAGTGGCGTAGTCTGTTATGGTTTTCTTAAATGGAACACCCTGCATATTTATAAATTATACGATCTGGCTTGCCAGAAGCTTCTCAAAATTATATATCACTCTTTTCACTATTTATTGCAATATTCAAAAGTTTTTATTAAAATATCATATTTATTAGTAGACCATAATTGATAATAAAAGAAACTAAAGAATTATTAAAAGTATATCTACTGATCTCTGTCTCTAGTTTTATTTTGGGAGCCACTAATAAATTATTTTAGAGAAACTTAACTCTCTACCGCTATTTGTAAATCTTGAAAGCTATTGTACCGGAAATTTTAGATATTCCTTTAGCTAATTTACGTGAAATATACTTTCAGCAAGATGGGGCTCTCCCTCACAACTTTAAAAATATTTGAATTTTGTTAAATTATTATTTCTCAAATCAATGAATTGGAACCAATGAACCAATATGGTGGCCTCCCCGATTCCCGGATTTGTCCGTTCTCGATCTCTGATTTTGGGGATTTTTGAAATATGAAATACATTGTGGCAACTACAACAATGTCGAACACCTGAAAAATACTTTAGATATTTGCAAGTTCATCATAATCATGTATCGAAGTATAGGTACTAAATAAAGCAAGCGTTAAGAAAATAAAAGTATTCATTAAGTGAGAAAATTTATTTAATACCTTACGACGGCGGACTAGCATTTTTTACAGGTTATTCTAGATATTTGCTTTTTTGTAACGTACCTAAATAGAAAACTAATAACATTTCTATTAAACACATGTTTCTTTTTTAATAAAGATTCATCAAGAACTCTCAAACACATACATGCCCTTTTAATTTGTGATATTGATAAATAAAATATAAAATCGATTTTATCTAGTTATATTCTCAGTTCTTAAATAATTACAAAACTACGTTACTGTGTTCGTAATAGGGTTGTACCAGATTTGTGTTGCAAAGGGATAGCTTCTGTTCATCCTGTACTTTCTATACCTTAAGAGCAGTATCGTTATAGTTAACAGTAAACATACAATAAGAGCAACAGCTACAAGGACTGTAAATATTCGTAGAATGCGATAGTGATGGATTATGAGATGATATGGTGGAGACGGCCCCTGAAAAATAAATATTGTTTTAAAATAAACCTCCTTAACAAAAGTATATTATTATCAAAATAGATTGTTTTAATCAAAAAGCTAGATGGATTTTAAAAATTTGTTAAATTCATTGCAGGAGTCATGCTCAATTTTAAGCATGCCCCCGAAATTGTTTGTTTACATTTAAAAGGGTCCGGCAATAGTGCGTCGGCCATCTGTAGCTCCTATAATAAAAAAGTTAGGAATTTTGTTTAAGAGTCTATTACCACCGTACATAAAAATCAGTTTTATGTACGGTGCTATTACCCTGTACTGTTCGGGTCGCTCTCAAGGGTCGGGTAAAGCGGGTGTGTGGCCGAAGGAAATATATATTATATTTCAAAAATCTGCCTAAGGCTTAGCCCAATCCTGTCGTTTTAAGCCACACCTAAAATTCCAAACACACGTGCTTTGATTAAGGCTTGATTAAGGTTTGCAGAGCTTCAGCATTTGCCATAAAAGAGCGAGCAATTTGTTACAAAACTATATAAATTATATACCACTGTAATCACAAAACTTTAATAATCTATTTCCGTATTTTAAAGGAATTTTAAATTATATCTTTATTTTCGAGAATATTTAGTCCAAACATAAGGAATATTTTGTCGATTTTTGATCATCAATCTTAAAAATAAAGAAGTTGTCTAAAATGTGCTACAATCCGGATTTAGTATAATCCTTTATCTTTAATTTCCTTCTTCATTTGTGTAAAAATTTCTAGCCATTTTTACATAAAATGTTAAATGCCGAACGCTTATTTTGATACTTTTTCGGACTAGTGAAATGGACTCTTAAGTGCAGACCTAAAGTATGTATTAAGCCGGGACCCCATTAGGCCATACACCACTCCAAGCCACCCCACGTCATGAAGATCTGTGCGTATGTTTTTCCATTTAATTACATGTTTTGCGTACACACTAGGGCTCACGCCACCCAACGCCATGCTATCATACGTGTGATGGGCGATTCGTCTGTCCCAGATCTCATGTGTCTTTCCCACGTCGCAACACGAGGGCTCACGTGGAATAGCGTGGCGTGGCGTGACGTGTGGCCTAATGGGGTCCCGGCTTTAGGATGTATTTCAGGAAAATATTTTAACCTCTACTGGGTGGCTCAAAAAGTGAGTGGATCGATTTTTTTAAATGGAACACCCTGTATATTGTTGCACTATTGGCGATGAATATCTTTATTACTAACTTTACAAAATGTAAGCCTATGAAACTTCCTATAAATACGTTATTTGCTTTTATATTGTAACTAATAAATGGAAAGAAAATTCTTCGAATTATGTAAACATTTTAGTCTCATAGTTAAGTAAGTATTTGTATTAATATGAACACAATATATATTTCAAGGACTCAAGGTATTGTTTATTGATTCTGTAAAAATGATTAATCATTGATAATCATCTGTGATAGATATTTATGCCGAAACAATTATTGACAGTGGTGGGTGTGATTTTATGTGGTAAGGGTCTCGAAACGAATACACCTTTTTGTGCATTGGTGCATGTTAATATCAAAACATTGCTGGATTGCTGGTACGAGGGTTGTCCTTTACATTTTGCATTTTTTTTTGAAACATAGAAACATAGTAGGCGCCTGTCAACATATATTACATTTCAAAATTAACTGTCATCTTTAGTTAATTTCATAGATAAAGGAAATAAATTTAGATTGCAATGCCCGTCAAAATCTTGGGTCGCAAAATTGTTTTAGGTCGCGAGTGTTATACGCGATCTGGAAGAACAACCGCAAACGAAAACAGAAATAATTTTCTCTTGTTCGTATTTCTTGTCAAAGTCAGATTTTTCAAAAATTATAAAATATTTTAAAATCTAAACCTCCCTCATTGGAAAAAATCCAAAAAGTGTTTAAAGCGTCCATTCTCAAAGTAATTATTGCTATCTTGTGAGTTTAATTTAAGTTTTATTTACTCAAACCCGTGATAATTGTTGAAGAAGTGACATTAAAAACTTAAAAAGCTATGCTCTGAACTGTGAACTGCAAAAACCATCGTGGACCGTGGCATAACATCGGTTTCCAATGTTTCATAGGTATTTCATACATGTTCTTATATAAAATAAAGTTTCTCGTATTCAACACACTGTATTTTATTTATAAAATTAAAAGAAAATAATAATAAATTTGAATAAACAATATTTGGCGATATAATTCCGGAAAAAGCTGAACCGCTCCGAAATTTTCAAAAGCTTTGGGTCGCGACCGTTACAAGAATAGCGCCAAGTAGTGTTTACATTGTCCTTATGGGCACTTTCCAATCTAAACGTATTTCATTTATCTATGGTTAACCTAACGCCATATTTTTAGATCACTTGGTTTAATTTGTGTAAGCTTTACCTAAAATTTTTCAAGTTGACGAGTCTAAAATTTTTGCGAAATCATTTTTTACAATGTTCGAAGACAGTTATCTCAATAATAATGCCTTAGAGAGTTGGTTTCCGTTTTCGGCAATGAAGCACCACATCAGACGACAATTTTTTGTTGGTATGGAGAATTTAAACGCGGGAGGATTAGTCTTAGCGACGATCCAAGAATCGGTCCTCTAACAACGGCAGTCACTGATCCAAGAATTGCCAAGAACATCGATATGTCACATCGTGAAATTGAAGCATCCTTGGGATGGATTTCAAAGACTTCAATTCAAAAAAAATAATTACATGAACTATTATCTGTAAAAAATAGTTTCTCGTTGGATATCGTATCTGTGACGGAAGAACAGCAGGCAATTAGGATCAATTAGTGCCAAAAAACCCTACACCGGTTTAACGCACGAAATTCACAAAATATATACAGTGTTGTCAGTGGTGATGAATCCTGGTCATCCTGGAGTCACTCTTATGAACCCAAAATAAACATCAATCAGGAGTTCGGGTGTTCCAAGATAATAAAAAAAAACTAACGAAAGTTATCCGTTTTCGAAGTGTTTCCAAAAAAACAGTGGCGACATTTATCTCAAAAACTGGTCATGTAGAAACAATTCCTCTGCAAGCTCAAAAACTGTTACTGTTAATTGATATACAGGGTGGTCCGAACTGTATTAGGTTCGGCAACATATTCTGCAGATAAAAATAAGTAAAAAAGTTCGTATCAATGTAAGTCCTAAAATGCTTAGTTTCAGAGATATATACAGGGTGTAGAAATTTAATTTCTATTTCGATTTTTTCCAAATAATTTATAAAGTAATGTAAATATTTGGATGAAAATTGATGTCTGGGAGTTTTTTGACATGAGCAATTTGATTTTGATGTTAATATGACTCCTAGTTATAGAGGGCGCCACTTACATATTTTTTAACTGGTTTGATGAGTAATAATTTTTAGACCGTATCTGTATAAAACTATCGAGTAAAAAAATATACATTTACGACATTTTTTACATAAAAAAGGTCTCTTAGGAAAAATCGCTACGAGTAATGGTTCTCGAGATATTTAGAATCGAAATTATCAATACCTGTCATCATTGACATAAATTAAACATGTTCACTAGATACTTATTAGACTGAAATCATAAATTTAAAATGTTTTTGTGCCAAAAGTTCAACAGAAACTGTTTCATCATCATTTCTTCGCAAACAAAATTAAGACTAATTTAAAAAAAAATCAAAATTTCCCGAATTTATTCAACGTGTTCATTTTTTGACAATAATGACATGTATTCACTAATTCAATTCTAAATATCTTGAGAACGGTTATGCGATTTTTATCAAGAGACATTTTTTACGTAAAAAGTTAAGGAAATGTATATTTTTTCGCACAGTATTTTTATACAGGTACGGACAAAAAGTTATTACTCTTCAAAACAGTTAAAACACATGTAGGTGGCGCCCCCTACAAATAGGAGCCCTACAATATTGATATCAAAATCAAATTTCTCATGTCAAAAAACTCCCAGACACCAATTTTCATTCAAATATTGACGTTACTTCAGAAATTATTTGGAAAAAAATCGAAATAAAAATGTAACTTCTACACCCTATATCTCCGAAACTAACCATTTTAAGACACACATTTATAAGAACTTTTTACTTATTTTTATCTGCAGAATATGCTGCCGAAATTTCCGGAATACAGTTCGGACCACCCTGTATATCTATTTGCTTGCCTGAAATAATTGCTGAGTTTCAAAAAACTAACCCTCAACGACGGATGATCCTCCACCAAGACAAGCAAGTTCCCACACAGCTCGAAAAGAATTGAGTTTTTAAAGCAAGAAAACATCGAATTGTTGGGTTCCGACCTAAGTCCCTAACGACTTTTTTACTTTTCCAAAAGTTAAGAAGAAACCGGTGGTCAAAAGGTTCCAGTACCCAGAAGATGCAGTCAGCGCCTTTAAAATCGCAATTTTGAAAGTACCAACAAGCGAGTGGTATAACTGCTTTCAGAATTGGTTCCAATTGATGCAACAATGCATTTCTCTTCGTGGAGAATACTTCGAAAAACAGTAGTGTTTAAAACTTATCTACGGTTTTTTTTCTATCTCTATATGCAAACTATAAAAGACAACCATCCTATTGTAATTTTTTATCTATTTTAAAGTCCTTACCGTTGTTTGGTATTCGCACGCTTCTTCAGTCAATTCGTATATCATCATACTTTGCCCGCTGACCAGGTTGACACAAACTGGGCCATCTTTATCTCTTTTAACGTCTTCTTTTAAGTCTTTGGCTATGTTGTACATATTGCACCCGCAGAAAAAGTCATTTCCTGACATGTTAACTAGTTTTAAATTTGACCATTTTGTTAGGTTGTAATTTAGATCGTTCAGGGCATTATCTTGAACGTACAGCTGTAAAATAACGGGATTATTAATTATTAGAACATTTTGTCTATATTTGTAGTTATTAACATTAAAAGAATGAGAACAAAACCAATAATTAACTGAAAAACGTACAGAAGTATTGTATAAAGAGATTTTTTTTAATAATTATAGAGAAAAATGTAATGTTCTAATTAAATTTGATATTTGAACTGACTTTGTAAAACTCGTAGGATAGTTCATTGTATAAAAGTTAAAGTTGTTCATTGTATCCGAGAATTAGTGACCCTAAAGAATTATTAATTGTTACATTAATATAACACACAATAATTTTAAATTTGATGTTAATGATTATCAAAAAACTTCAGACTTTTAATTCTTTTACAAGCCTCTACAGGGTGTCCCAAATTCGAACCTCATCATTGGGATCTTTATTTTTAAAACTTTTTAACAAATGCTGCATAATATATTTATTTTATTTATTAAAACATTTTTCTGGAACCGGGGGTTAAACAAATTTAATAATAATCTAGGATTTTGTATAGTAGTAATAATTTTGTATAGTAGTAGTAGTAATCAGTAAAGAATAAAATGCGATAAAATACAGGGCGTTGTTCTATTTTAAAAATCGTGTGCCGAAACTACTACTAAGTATTTTGTTTTTTATCTTTCCTCTTTGCTTTGATACTTACTTCTTCCAGGGTTTGATTTTCTCCAAAAGCTTGCGAATTTATATCAAATAAGTTTTTGTTGGTGTGTAGGAAAAGCACCTTTAGATTTTTTATCGGTGAAAAAGTATTGACATTTACGTAGGTCAATCTTGGCAAGTTTGTTAAAGATAGTTCTATAACAGATTTTACCCCTAAAAGAGAATATAATATTGCTTTTATTATATGGTTTGTAACAATAAAAATGTGATGTTACCCAAAAATGATTCATCAGACATTTCGAATATGGGGTTGTGGTCCAAATACAGATATTCCAGTGTTTCTCCTAAATAGCTGAGTGTTTCTGGAACAGCGTCTAGGTTGTTATAGGAGAGATTGAGTTCCTTTAAGTTACGGAGACTTTTCACTGCATCACCCACTAATTCGGTCAGTTGGTTACTAGCCAAATTTAATGTCTAAAAAATAGTAAATTAGTTAGAAAGTTAGTGACAATGCCCAAAATAATACAGGGTGACAATTTGAAAAGTAGCAGTTGGGAATATCTCGTAGACAATAAAATAATACCGGGTAGGTTTGAAATCTATACTATCTATCTATATCTTTTTAATGTGTTAGATTTATTTTAAAAAGACATGACTGACAATTGACATACTGACATATTTTAGAATTGGCGATGTCACAAAATGTTTTAAATTATTTTTAACATGTTTTTGGAATCATATTGTCCATATTGTAAACATTAGATATGTTTACATCTTATAAAGAAGTAATACAAACATGGTTCTTACTCTATGGTATCGGTTGCGATTATTCTAAAAGTTAAAAAATATAATATCTGGATGATATTGCAACATAGGTAATAAATTAAATTTACAAGAAAGAAACCCAGAAAAGATCCAGTGGTTTTTAAAATTTAACCAAAAAATAATTTTTAAATTTTCAAAATAAAATAACACGGTTATTTTGGAATTATTTGAAAAAGGCAAAGAGAAAATATGATCCTTTTATCGAGATCTACCAACCCTGAAAATATATGCAATTTATATTATTTAAGATTCACCCGGTATTGTATAGTTTGTATAGTAGGTATGTAGGTATTTTTTGTTGCGAACTTAATAACTTAATTTTTTTAACATTTTCTATACAAGGTATGTGCTTAAAATTATCTTAAGAATACTGAAATTTAGCCATAATTATTTGGCACTGCTGTTTTGTGTTTAATTATGTACATGATTGTAAACGTTATACAGGGTGGTCCCCCTCATAAGACACGAAGGTTCTAAGGAGAACAACAGTTGTATTGAAATTAAATTTTCAATAAATAGTAAGTGGGTTGATTTAGAGCATTTTTAAAAATATAGGGTGTCCTCAAAAAAGTTAGATATGAAAGTTGCGTTTTTTGTAATATAATGATATTCGAATTCTAGAAGAAAAAGAAAAAAAAATGGGGATATGCTAAAGACAGTGTTTACAAAACTGGACTAACTATTGTCGATAACATGAGAAAAACGATTGTAGCTGCTTTTCGAAGTAGAACTCCACACTCCACATATGCCTTTTAAAATGAAAAGATCTTTTGAAAAGAGAATCATTTTATGCAGTGAACAGAAAAGGCAGCATTTTGAACATTTGATTTCATCTAGCTAGTTTTTGTCACATAATTATACGATTATATCTAGTTTTAATTCTGTAATAATTAAAATATTGTTACGGATTCCGTGGGTCCAGTAATTTAAACTCACGATAAAATACTTAACGAATTTATTTTCTCACTTTATACACAATTACTAACTTATAACACACAACAAACTAACTATTTATAAGATTCCTTCACCAAATTGTCCGATTTTCAATTTCCACGCGGTATATTCAAATTTCAAAAACTGTCTCAGTTGTCGATGGCTCCGGCTTATATACTCTATTGACTGCTTCTCGAAATTTCCCCAATTCTCGGAAAGCGTACTTCTTCATACCAGACAATTCTATTGTCTGATTCCCTTACTTCTCGACTTGACTAAAAGATGGCGCCTGAAAAAGTCTTTTAATTTCTGGCGGATACGTTGCGGTTGTGCAGGCAACCAGTAATACATTTTTAATTTCTGGCGGATAGGCCATTTTTCTTGACATTGCCCCCTTCTCAAATTTGATCGTCCCGATCAAGGTTTCCTGTCTGATATCTCTTCAATCGATCCAGATGAACTACTTTCATCTTACTTCTAGGGCTGCGTTGAATCCGGTACACAACATCATTTATCCTCTTGATGACTGTATAAGGACCTTCCCATGCTGGAGTTAACTTTGGGGACCTCCCTTTCTTGCGCTGTGGGTTATATAACCATACCATATCGTCCTGTTGAAATCCCGTAGAATTGGCTCTGAGGTCGTAACGAGCTTTCATCCGGTCACTGGCTAGCGTAATCTTACTTCTTACGGCCTTATGAATTTCCATTAACCTTTCCTTCAGTTCATCCGCGTAGTCCTCTACATTTGTGGTGCCGTCGTCTGGTGATCCGAACACCAAGTCACAAGGCAACCGTAATTCTCGACCAAATAAAATCTTCGATGGTGAAAGTCCGGTGGTGTTGTGAACTGCACTTCTATACGCCATTAGGAACAGCGGTATGTGTTGATCCCAATCTCTTTGATGTTCGGCCACCATTTTCGAGAGGTGTTCTTCAATGGTCTTATTGAATCTTTCGACCATCCCATCAGACTGCGGATGTAAAGCTGTTGTCCTAGTCTTGTGAATACCAAGCAGATCACACATCTTCTGGAACAGTCTTGACTCGAAGTTCCTTCCTTGGTCAGTGTGAAGCTCTAAGGGAATTCCAAATCTACTGAAGACATTATTGACCAATACTTCAGCTACAGTCGATGCTTCTTGGTTTGGAATGGCAAAAACTTCTGGCCATTTACTGAAATAATCCATCGCCACTAAAACGTACTTGTTGCCCTTGTGCGTTTCAGGGAATGGGCCTGCAATGTCAACAGCGATTCTTTCGAATGGCAGTCCAACGTTATATTGTTTCATTTTTCCCCTAGATCGAGTGCTTGGTCCTTGGCTGGCTGCACAAATTTTACATTGTCGACACCATTTCTTGACATCTTCGCAATAATCCACCCAGTAAAAGCGATCTCTCAGCTTGCTCAAGGTCTTGTTTACCCCAAGATGGGCTCCAGTTTTACCACCGTGAATTTCTTCCAATACCTGGGTAACTTTCTTCCTTGGTACCAGTAACTGAGTTGTTACTGTGCTGCCATCCGCACTTTCCCATGTGCGCTTTAACAATCCATTCTCAATAACCAGTGAATTCCACTGAGCCCAGAGAGCTTTGAAAACGAGCCCTCTGTCCGCAATATCCTGCCACGGTGGTCTCTCGCCGTTACCTTCCTTGAGCCGTAGTATTGCTCCGATGTCTGGATCTTCCATTTGATCTTTCCTCAATTGTGTCGTCGTCCACTGTTCATCGGTTCCAAGTTTAAACTCCTTATCATGACAGTGCCTTCACGTTGTTCCGTTTTACAGCAGTGCTTACAATCGGTTTGACAGGGTCTTCTGGATAAACCGTCTGCGTTACCATGCATTTTTCCAGCACGATGTTGGATGGTAAAGTGATACTGTTGGAGCTTCTCGAGCCATCGTGCTATTTGACCTTCAGGTTGTTTCATCTCCATAAGCCACTTGAGAGCCGCATGATCTGTCCTAATTAAAAATTCTTGGCCGTACAGATATTTATGAAAATGATCAACTGCCTTCACAATTGCTAGCAGCTCCTTCCGGGTAACGCAGTAATTCCTTTCTGGTTTGGATAGAACTCGACTGTAATATTCTATCACTCGTTCTTCGCCATCTTGCACTTGTGATAGCACTGCACCTATGCCGATATTGCTGGCGTCGGTATCCAGGATATACCTCCCTTGTTGTTGCGGGTAGGCTAGAATAGGACTTGAACATAAAGCCGCCTTAAGTCTTCCAAAGGCTACATCACAATCGGTGTTCCATTCGTAGCCGACTTCATCACCTGTAAGTCTATGTAAGGGTGCAGCTATATTGGCAAATCCCTTGACAAATCTTCTGTAATAGGTGCATAAACCCAGAAAACTTCTAAGTTCATGTTTGTCGCGAGGTTTAGGCCAATCCTTGATCGCAGCGATTTTCTTCTGGTCGGTGTAAATTCCGTCTGCCGAGACTACATGACCCAAGAATTCCACTTGTCGCTGGAATAAGCTACACTTCTTCGGGTTCAAGTACAGGTGAGCATTCCGTATGCGTCCGAAGACTTCTTCTAAATTTCGCAAATGCTCCTCAAAAGTTCTTCCCATAACCAATACATCGTCGAGGTAAACCAAGCACGTTTTCCAAGTTAATCCTCTTAACACCACCTCCATGAGACGTTCGAAAGTGGCTGGAGCATTGCATAATCAAACGGCATGACATTGAATTGGTATAGTCCGTTTCCTGTAGAAAAAGCCGTCTTTTCTTTATCGTCCTCGTCCAGACCAACTTGCCAGTATCCACTCTTTAAGTCGAGAGTGGAGAACCAGCACGAACCTGCGAGAGTTGTTAATGTGTCATCTATACGTGGCAGTGGGTAGCTATCTTTCTTAGTGACGTCATTGAGCTTCCTATAATCCACGCAGAATCGTGTACTACCATCTTTCTTCGTCACCAAAACAACAGGAGATGACCATGGACTCGATGATTCTTCGATAACTCCATCTTCTAGCATCTTATCTACCATTGTCTCCATTTCTTGTTGTTTGGAAAGGGGCACCCTTCTAGGACGTTGTCGAATCGGCTGAGCATGACCAGTATTAATCCGGTGCTTCACAAAATCCGTTCTTCCACTGTTGTTCTTCTCAAAAATACTGCCATGCTTTAGCAGGAACTCCTTAGCCTTCTGTTTCTCCTCAGATGTTAGGTGATCCCATGGCTGCTCTAGATGTTTTAGTGTTTCTTGGGATGCCTTTTGTGTAACAGCTGACGACACTTCATCACATCGGGTGACACTTCTTACAGGTTCGCAGATGGCTATCTTGTCACCTTTTTGGATCTTGACACAATTCGGGAAAACATTCGCAATTCTGATCGGTATATTCTTGTCGGTGTTCACCAATGATTTTCCTACTAAGTACCTATCCTGTTTGTTGTCGCTACTTTGTACCAGTCCAACACAGCACCCAGCGATTTTCTCCACTTTACCGAATACGATTTTCTCGGTATTACCAGGTATCACCACAGTTTCCGCTGATCTTACATCCATTCTGCCTGGTCCCTCGTCTGGAGATAACATGAACTCTTCATTTCCAATATTTAAGATATTTCTCTGGTGATCGAACGAAAATCCATGTTGACGAATCACATCCATGCCCAAGATGAAGTCATCTTCAATATCTGCCACTAAGACGCTATGCTGAAACTTCAAATTTCCTAACTTCAGTTCGACGATAGCCTCTCCCCGTACAACGGCCATTTCCCCCGTAACTGTACGTAAACACACTCTTCTTCCCAGAGGCATCAGCTTCAATCCTTGCACTGAGTTAGCCCGCACCAACGATACCATAGCGCCAGTGTCCACTGTCATTCGGATTCTCCTACCATTGACCTTCCCGTCGATCACTAAACTGTCAGCGGTTCTTCCCAGACTCCTAATGGAAAAAATCCTGGGGGCTCTGTTCTCCCCAGTCAATACTCGCCCCTTAGTATTGACTGATTTTAGTTTTCCTGGTGCCTACGTTCTCTGGATGGTGAACGGGATCGCATTTGAACGCGGCAATCCCGTTTAATGTGGCCATTCCTGCCACATCTAAAGCACCTTATGTCCTGGGATCTTCTCTGGTTCTCTGTCTGGGTGTTGTTGCTACTCTTGTTCACTAGTAACTCACATAGTTTACTAAACATCTCCTCCAAACGTATGTGAGAACTTCCGGGTTGTTCCTCTACCGTTACCGATCTTATCTTCGGTCTAGGGATGGCGCTAAAAGCAGCTTCAATTTCTAGCGCCCTGACCAGTGTTTCGCTGCTGGTATAAAATCGGGATATTTGCAGCGCCCTCTGTAATTCGTTGTCCCTCGGTCCGCTGATAAAGCACTGAGCAGCGAGTTCCTCCCTAAATCCTTCCGGTGCTACAGGATACGCTAGGTGTACCAGCCGACGTAAGTCTGCTTCAAATTCCTGCAGACTCTCTCCGGACCTCTGCAGGCGTGTCTTGATCTGGGCCTGGTAAAGTTGGCGTCGATGTTGGTCGCCATATCTTCTGTCCAGTGCAGCGACCAAAGTTTGGTATTCCTGCTGTTGGGCTGCAGGAATAGTTTGCAACAGTTCCAGGGCAGGGCCGCGCAGCGCGATGACAAGTGCCGCTGCTTTCTCCTGGTCAGTCCATCCGTTGGCAGCGGCGGCTGCTTCAAACTGACGGTGGTACATTGTCCATGTCGTTTGTCCATCGTAGGTCGGGGCTTTAAGGTTCGCAGTTCCCGGAACGCCAGGTGTCCTTACTTGTACCTTGGTCTTCTGTAGGTCCATCTCCAACTTTTCTATCTTCTGCTGAAGGCGCTCCTCCAGATCTTCTACGGCTTCTTGGAAGTGGTTCTGCTGTTCCTGGCAACGTTCTTCCAACATTGCTTGTTGCTGTTCCCCCAAGCTTTTCTGAAGTCGAATTTCTTGATTTTCTAAAGTTTTCTTAAGACGGTCCTGATCTTCTTGTCTTTCTTTCTGGCGGCGCGTTTCTATATCTTCTAAAATTTCCCTCCATTCATTCTTCTGACGAATTTCTAAATTGCCTAAAATTTTCTCAAGCCGGTCCTGTTCTTCTTCTTTGTCTTGTTGTCGTTGAATTTTCAAATCTTGGAAAATTTTTTCAAGCCGGTCCTGTTCTTCCTGTTTCTCTTTCTTTTGACGGGCTTCTAAACCTTCTAACATTTTCTCTTGATTTTCCATAAGTATTTTCTGTAGATGGTCTTGTTCCTCTTCTTTCTCTTTTTCTAGTCGGGCTCGCTCTTCTTCTCGTTCTTTACGGAGTCTTTCTTGCTCTTCTGCTTTTTCTTTTCTCAGCCTCTCTTGTTCTTCTGCCTTTTCTCTTCTCATATTCTCCATAAAATCGCCCAATAATTTGCTTACTTCCTCCATTTTCTTCGCTTGCTGTCTCGTACCAACCATAAAAATTCCCAAATTCGGTGTAAAAATCGTCCAATCCACTTAATTTCTTCTTAAAATCCTCTTGAATCGCACTTCCGACACCAATTGTTACGGATTCCGTGGGTCCAGTAATTTAAACTCACGATAAAATACTTAACGAATTTATTTTCTCACTTTATACACAATTACTAACTTATAACACACAACAAACTAACTATTTATAAGATTCCTTCACCAAATTGTCCGATTTTCAATTTCCACGCGGTATATTCAAATTTCAAAAACTGTCTCAGTTGTCGATGGCTCCGGCTTATATACTCTATTGACTGCTTCTCGAAATTTCCCCAATTCTCGGAAAGCGTACTTCTTCATACCAGACAATTCTATTGTCTGATTCCCTTACTTCTCGACTTGACTAAAAGATGGCGCCTGAAAAAGTCTTTTAATTTCTGGCGGATACGTTGCGGTTGTGCAGGCAACCAGTAATACATTTTTAATTTCTGGCGGATAGGCCATTTTTCTTGACAATATGTTTCAAACGTATATCTTTTCATTACCGTTGCATATTTTACTCTACATTCTTAATTTTTGTTAAATTAACGAAAGGCATATCACAGCCCCATGGATTTTATGAAAAATAAAGATCTACTAATGCTAAATCATAAAAATGAAAATATGTAGGAAAATCTTTATCTAAGGGATAGGCAACCTTTGAAGATATATGAATATGAGCATTGGATATCGGACTAATATACCGTGTGTTTTGTCTCACCCTGTATAATCTTTAGGGTCAAATTTTAATTTTACAATACAATGGATGTTTTAACGAAATATCAGGTTATACAGGCTAAATTACAATTTAGGTAGCTGTTATTGAAATAAAAATTTATTCTTCATTTTTACAAAATGTGAAATAATAATATATGTCAAAAACCTTACATTTATTTTAGTAATATGCTTCTTTAATGAGACTGACCTTTATTTTTTTCCTAATATCTGAAAATCGATTAATATATATAGGGTGTTCCATTACAGAAAAAACACAACGTTGATGCGTAACTTTTTTGGTGACACCCTGTAGAACTCTATAATATAGAATATATTTTTATAAAGTGCTTTCATTTAACTTAGGTATGTTCTCAAAATTACATTTCAATACACACTTCCTTGGAGCCTCCGCGTCGGATGAGAGGCGCCACCCTATATGAAAAAAATGTAAAATTTGATATGTATAATCCTATTTAAAAACGTATTCCCCCGTATAAAAGTACGTTACTTATTTACCTCTAAATTACTTAATGTAGATAAAGCCATTTGTGTGGGCGGATCCAATACTTTAAATTGATTCCCTTCCAAGTTGAGCTGTCTTAAGTCGGCTAGATGTTCGAATATTTTGTGGGGTAAGCTGTGGATACGGTTGTAAGCTAAATTTAGCTGAGTCAACCCTAGGGGCTCGTAAACGGTGTTGTTGTAAGGGCCTTTGAACTTTTCAGGAGAAATTCCTTCAGCTGTAAAAACATTTTTTTTCTATTACAATGGTTAGAACAGAGAACAGTGTATTATCATTAGAATTAAGATACAGGTTATAGGAATTAAGATACAGGTTATAAGTATAGGTATTACATAAAAAAGAGAAAACTTGAAGTTTATATTTTGATTATTACGCATATTATAATTTTTTTATATACAACTCCCGAATCAACATTTTATAGCTTCACAGTTTCTCACACCGATTTGATCAAAAGCAAAAATGGATTCAAGCAGTTCGACGAAATTAGCGAGTAAACAAAGTGCTCATTACATAATCAAAAAATTAAATATGCATATACTTATTGTACAAACATAGTGTATTTGTATATACCAGTTGTTTCCGATATTCTCCGATGGTGGCAGCATCGGCGAAGAATGCACCGGGCCTATAAAATTTACGTGGAAGTTTTTATGTTCAAGTTACCAATCGTACCAATCAATCATCAAGTCATCAATCCAATTCGTACAATGAATTTCGATGATACTGATATCTGAGCATATTTAAAACAACTGTTTTTTGCCATTTAAAATTTTATAAATAATTATTAATTAATAATTTTGTTGTTTAATGTAACAATATGAATAACAATATCAGATTTCGCATTTGGCTTATAATCTTGGCACTTTGATAGAAGCTCTGAAGTAACGACTTAAAAATAAATGTTAATTTTTGAATCACATCAGAACACACTTGTATTCAAATATAAGACATCTGACAAATAGTCAAATTTCTTTATCCTTTAACTAATAATATTGAGAATACCTGCTAAGTCATGCCAAGGATTTAAATCCAACTTTATATATAGATTCCCGAATCCACCTTTATATATAGGCGTATGTGTATATTATTTATGCTACATCTGTGCTATAATATTCTATTAATCTAAAAAACTATAGAAAATTGCCCTGTGTATAATATTGACACATAATCTGTTTCTCTGTCTTAATTCTCTATCGAGAATGTGGCGATTGTCAACAGTTTTCCTCCAATGTTCTCTATTTTGAGTCTCTTTCACTAATTTGTGAAATAGTTTATTTGCTGCTTGGATCATTTGATCGGTTCAGCGATCGTTTCCTGGTTCTTTGTCCCCCTACCTTTTTTGTTTTATTGGTATTTTCATTATCTCTGTTTTTCTGCCCAGAGAGAAGTCCTGGTTTTAGTATCAACGCTGAGATTAGATTAGATTCTTCGAGGTGGCTATCGGCCTGATCAACTGCGACCTTTTCAGATCTATTGTGCTCCTCTTCTGATCCTTGGGCTACATTCTCCAGTCCCATCCTTTTTAAAAAATCTAGCAACTTGGACACTGAACCCTCCATATAGATCTTTGTCAATGGCCTATCCTTTCCTATTACCGAGAACATCACATTTGCCAGGCTGTCGCACTAAATGTGTTGTGTGCAGTGATGTAACGGGTAATATTACCGGTAATTTTGTTGGATGTTCTTTCGCCAAACACAGTAAGCCCTCTGCTTCGAAACGAATTTAGGCTACAAACACAAGCAACTTATAACTTGTTAAAGCCAATCTCTAAGTGAATAACAATTTTTGACGGTAACGGGCTAACAATCTCAAATGTTTTTACCTGCTTTTTTGAAATAAGGTCTATATTAGGTATCAGATTCATCCGTAGCTAGGTCGGAAAACAAGAAAATGTGTGCAATTCTGAAAAAACGGGCAAGTAAATGTTTAAGACCTGCTTATCTTTCTGCCTACCTGTTATAACCAAACCCTACTTAACCCCTTAAATTATAACCCTACTTAACCTTGCGGCGAAAATTTAACTGAAGCTGAAAATATAATTGCAACGGAGTTCATGAAACTGTAAGGCCATCATCCAAAGTATTTTTCATAAGTAGATCTCATTATCGAAGCACCGACTGGCACAGTACAAAATTAGAGCTAATATATTAAGATTTCCAGCGAAAAGTCTCTCTCTGGACCTGTGTGGTTGGCAGGAATTTGCTTCAGCTCTAAAATAAACATGTTGGCTGTACCCGCAACACAGCCGCAACCGAAAGAACCTTTAGTACTTATGGATTTGTCCACCGGCCAAGAAGAAACAAACTTACAGTTGAAAGGACCGGAAAACTTACTTATTGCCCATAATAATTATAATTTACTAAATGGAGAACAACCAAAAATGGCAGAGGCTGCTGAGAATGAAATGGGAGAAGATATCGATTTCTAAGTAATAGACTTGACTCAATCAACTGGAAAGAGAAAGAAGAACCATGTGACAAGTTTGAGGATGATTTACCATTATTCCCTCTATATTACTTCCCTCTCTATATTCCCTCTACACTACAACATAGACCACTCATAGCATAAAAAATCGTTCTTGTCTTTTTTTGTAATGTTTTTACAGTTTTGAAATAAAAAAAAATATTATTTAAGAAGCAGTTTTTTATAAGTCATCAATGTTACCGTAATATTACCGGTAATATTACCGATTTTATGAATTACCGTAAACCTTACATCACTAGTTGTGTGACATAAAATGTGTTCTGTCGTGGTTTTGTCGTTTCTTCCTCAGTTTGGCAGAACCTGCATATCTTCGTCTATCAGTCCCATTAGGTTTATATGCCTATTCAGCTTACTAATGTTTATTAATGCCCTGTTAGTAGAGCCGCTACAGCTTTGACTGTCTTTCTGTCTTTGCGTAGGTCGTGAATTTTGGCGAATATTTTACTATGAACTTTTTCGCATGATTGCACCAATGAATTTCTCCTTTGTGGCTATTTTCGTGACTGCTTTTGCAACGCTGCAGGGTTTTGGGCCTGATGAATGACATTGATGAGCCTTGTTTGACCATTTCATATGCCTTTTTGTTACCCTTGTGACCTCGTACCATGATACTCAGACTAACCGTAACATTGCTACGCTCTCTTAAAGTATTCAGTGCACACACGCAATCCCACACTAGTTTAGAATTGACCTCCGTGGAACTGAGAGCCTTTAGCGCTGCTTGGCTAGTTATTAGTGAAGCTACTATTACTAATTTAGTGAAGATAGTCACCGAACGATGTGTTTTCATCATCACTGAGAGTCATTGTTGGATAATAGGGACGATGCGATAAGAACACAACGTCTTTTCAAGGCAGTGGGCATCAGTCGATATTTCGAAATTGCAGTGACTTTTTTTCATTTCTACTTTAGTTAACTCATCTGATTCTAGCGAGCCTGAGTTAGTGATTATCCATTCTAGATACCGATATCTATCCAGTATCTGGAAACAGTTTTTATACGAATATTCTTCGGATGGTAGTTATTCTGTCTGTCAACCAACATGATTTTTTGAGTTCTAGTTCAAGTTTGCGAGTCTCTTCAGTTGGTAGTGTAAGTTCTAGGAGTTCTTCGGAATAGGCTATGAGTGTGCGGTATAGCCCGCATAGTGCAGATTATTGATCATTCGTTAATTAGTAGTAAACCTCTTGTTGCAAAGAAGGTACCGAACTCAACTGGAAAACCTGGTCAACTTAAAATATCTAAATATGTACAACTATTATTCGATTATTTTATTTTTTTAGCAGATACGTCTGTTATAAACCGTTGACGTTATAGTGTTATTTTCGATGGAAAAATACCCAGAAGTCTTTTTATGATGAAATGAATCCCCCACAAAAGCATAGACATTATTTACGGTATATTTTTTATTACAAAATTGGAATTCATACTTACTGACTAGGTCATTATAACTCAAATCGATGAGCTGGATATTCCTAACAGCTTTAAATACCCCATTGTCAAGAGACTTGATGTTACAGTGACTGAAGATCAAGTCGGTAACTTTGTCACTATGAGGTAATACCTCTAAATTACCAATATTATTATTACTGAAAAACGTTTTGTGTATTATTAATAAAAAAATGTTAATTACAAATTGTAATAATTTTACCTGAAAGTAGCCACAAGTGATGTATCGTGTTCAGGCCATTCTGCTATAGTGTTATGGATACCTGAATCGCTGCAATCTAGTACGAACTGTCGTCCTCGTAGACATTTACATCTTTCGCATATATTCGTAGAATTTTCGTATATTTCTTCTCCCAGTACTATAGTTAATAATACCAAAGGCACCTAATAACATGTTAAGGGCTTACTATTAGTAGTTATATTAAAGATACCATACAATCCACAGAAAAACGGCGTTAGAGTCGGCTGGGGAATGACAATCTATGATAATGTTGGTTAGGTCAAGCCCTACAGGTTATTTACTTTGCCCGTACTCTTGTTTACGGATATATTAAAGAGGTAAATAACAAGGTTGTATTTTTTTATATTAAGAGTAAAAAGTAGCAAAATAAGCGTTCGGCATTTAACGCTTTATGTAAAACTGGCTAGATACTTTTACATAAATGAAGAAGGAAATTACATATAAAGCATTATACTATATCCGTATTGTAGCACATTTTTAGACTACTTCCTTATTTTTAAGATTTTGATGATCAAACATCAACAAAATATTCCGTATGTTTGGACTAAATTTTCTAGAAAATAAAGACATAATTTAAAATTCCGTTTTTGGAAACGTTCTATCCTTTTTTAATTTTTCTATAACTAGTGTTAATTTTTTACAAGTTTTGTATCAATTAAAAAAAAGGCGTCTAGAGATTGACCTCGCCGTAACTATAATCGACTGTCATTCCCAGCCGCCTTTGACGCCGTTCTTTTTTGATTATACGGTACTTTTAGAAGTTAGTACTGTTAGATATACACACAACCAAACTTATATGGAATCACTCTTTATTTTTGACTAAATTTCTTGCAAGGATAAAAATTGGTATACAACTTTAGGATAAGGCTTTTTCTTGTAAATAAACATGATAATAAAGAATAAACGACTGCTGCGATTTATTTTCTTTTGAATTTTGTGTTCAGTAGTAGAATCACGATTGTCCGGTAATTTTCATTCGATCCAAAAGAAATATAAAAAATGCCTTATGTTGGATTAACAGAGGGTATAGAGGGGAAGAATTGAAGAATTATTGCTTTCACCGAACAATGAATGCTCCAAAGAGACGTAGCAGAGATAGTAGGCGTTACCCAGGGTGTTTTGTCGAAATCATATGCAAGGTACTTGGAATTAGGAACACACAAGGATAGGCCCAGACGAAGTCGTCAAAGAGTCAGAACTGTACAAGACCCCCTTGTAGGCCAAATTGTTAGAATAAATCCCAATGTTTCTCATCCAGAGCTACAAAGACAACTTCTGACAGCTACATGTGTAAACGTTTTAGTTGAAACCATAACAAAAAGGCTTCCTGCTCGAGGATTTTGCAGTAGGAGAGAGTTACGGATCCCAGAGTTATCTCGGCAAAATAAAATTCACCGGTTAAATTGATGCCTTCAACATCAAAACTGGACAACTGAGAATTGGCAAAATGTTCTTTTTTCGGATGAGACCAGAATTGGCCTAAGATCAGAAAGCCATCGAATTCGGGTTCTCAGAGCTCCAGAAAGACGAGCGAGACTTCAGGCTTCAGGCTGCCAAATCTGTATCAAGATATAAAGGAGGAACTTAATGTTCTGGGGAGGTATTATACTAGGAGCAAAAACTCCATTGTAACCACTTCAACAAACTTTAACGGGTCGGAGATATATTGATTTGGTGCTAGACCCAATCGTTAGTCTTTAGAGAGCTGAAATTGGTTATAGTTTTAACATCTTGTACGATAGTGCACCTCTCCATACCAGCAGAGTGACTAGAGAATGCCTTGAAACGGAAGGTGTCATAGTTTTGGACTGGCCTGCATGTTCACCAGATCTAAACCCTATCGAACACTTGTGGGACTAGCTCAAAAGAAGGGTTAGAGCTCGTCGAAACAATCCAGGAAATTTTGCACAACTTATTGATGCAGCATTAGCAGAATGGGAAAACATACCCCAAAAGACAACGTTGATAATTTAATAAGAAGCATGCCAGCGCGAATAGAAGCTTGCATAAGGGCTAGAGGTGGCAACAAGGAATATTAAAATTATCAATTTTCTTTTTGTTTTTGCTTTTTGCCCATTAAAAATTTAAATCTTAATTTCGTTTCAAAAACCAAAAAATACCATTTTGTTTATTTTGGAAACTGATTAATTTTTTTTATTGCTATGTGGATTATTTTTCATTAAAAGTCATTGGGGGGGGTAAGGACTGAGTTTTATTCATAAACACAAAATTTTCATACGTCTCAAAAATTATGACAAATAATAGATGATTTTTGTTATATGTTAATACAGGGGAGAGGACTCTAATTTAATAGCACATAAAAAGGGAATAGCATTAAATTGATTCACACTATTTTTTTAAAATTATTTTATGTATAATGTTCTACCAGTTATTCCTACGGAAGTAGAGATATAATAAATGCGCCACCGTATATGTTTAGTAATAAGTATTACTCTAGACAATATATGATAATTACTTCCAAAGTCAAGATATGAAAACGCAAAGTTCACAGTGGACAATTCATATGGGGCAAAATATTGATTACCTGAGTTACTGAATATTTAAAGTTTAAATGACAATCTTAGTAAACCATTCGGGAAAAATATAAATCTATTTTAGTCCTGTTTTCTGTTACGTTTAAAAAACTATTGTTACTGTCAGCTTTGATATTTTATAACTTTCTTGTTTTTCATCCGATTTTCATGATATTATACCATATGGATTAATTGCTATATCTTTTAATTATTTCATAAATAATATTTTTTTATATATTATTAACACTGATGAGGCTTTTGGCCGAAACGTTTGTTTTTTGAAGATTAAAGATCACGAAAAAAAGTATATACCTTTTCTCCTTATTTGTACTATGACTTAATTTAGAGAAAGGAATAAATCAGAATCTAATACCAAAAACTTCACTTACTCGCTTACTTACTTCTATAAAGATCTCGGAAGAGATGAGATCTTTCAACATGCTGAATAGTTTTAACTGCACATATCACAGATTTGGCGGGATCTGTACTAGACTATAGACTGACTTTTTAATAACAATTATTTGAAGTTTTAAGAGGTAAGTAGATATTTTCTTCCGTTCGTCAAAAAATTATTGAGAAATTGAAAAAACGAATTAGGTATATCAGTACGTATCGAGAATATTATGTACTTTAAAACCAATTTGAATGTTTTAAAATAAGCAAGATTTCCTGGAATATACCGGGTGTTGCATCGTCGAGCGGGACATAGGAAATCCCATGTAAATTTTAATGGGGTCAATTATTATTGGTTTCCCTAATTATTTTAGAGAATAATTCTATTTAGGTTTATTGAAGAGCACTAAAACCCACATTTAAAAGAATAACTTTAGATATTTTTGATTAGCCCGTTTACGAGTTATCGCCGATTTCTTTTTAAATATTTCTCCTTTTCTTATAGCCCTGTATTTACTTATGAGCACCAGTTAAGGTACAAGATAACTGTCAAATGAAGTTGTCATTTCAGAAATTTATCTATTTAGTGCTTTATTATTATTATTATTAAAAACTCATACCTACATCGAAAATATTAGCCATGAATTACACTACCGAAGAAAAAGTATTGATGATTAAATGGAATGATGATTATTGGAATTAAATGGAATGATGAAAGAATTGATGATTTCATCAAGGAAATAGTTATCAAAAGGTGTCGGACATGTTTGCTGCTCTGTATCCGAATAAACCGATACATGGAAAATCTACAATCGCAAGCAAAATCCAGAGATTTGAGATCAAAGCGAGATTGTACCAAAGGTACCCTAATAAATAACTGCAGATGTGAAGCAAGGCAGGAACAAAGAGAAGATGCAAGAAATGATACCGACTTGGAAGTTTTATTGTGCGTGGAAGAGAACGATGGAAAGATCAGCACAAGGAAACTTGAGGATGAAATAGGAATAGATCACACTACAGCGTTTCGAATTTTGAAACGACATAAATACTATTCCTTCAAATATGAAAAGCACCAAGAGCTACGAGATGGAGACGAAATACGGCGGCAGGCGTTTTGTTTTGGTATGATGGAAAGAGCAAACACGGATAGGGAATTTTTAAAAAACATATGTTTCACTGACGAATGCACGTTTACCTTAAATAATGAACCCAATGTTCAAAATTATCGATATTGGAACAAAGAAAACCAACACAGGTTTGTCGAAACAAGGACGCAATATCCACAGAAAGTAAATGTTTGGGCAGGGATATTCGGACACAATATTATCGGGCCATTATTTCTTACGCGAAATTTAAATGCAGAATATTATTTGGAACTACTCGAAAATCATATTTTACCTGCTTTACATGATGCCCCTAGGGAAAATCAGGAAGTTTGGTACCAAATGGATGGCTGCCCGGCACATAGTACCTTGGCTGTTCGGGAATATTTAGACAATAGTTTTAACGGAAACATTATTGGCCTAAATCATACAGTAAATTGGCCAGCAAGGTCTCCTGATATTTCGCCAAATGATTTCTTTCTCTGGGGCCATTTAAAAAATAGGACATACAAGGATAAAAAATACCCAAATCTAGACGAGTTAAAAAAGCCATTTCTGCCGAATGCAATAGAATTTCAGTTTACCAACTAGCGAATGTAAGAAGAGAATTTTATGATCGCCTGGGTTATTGTCTAGTAGTCGATGGAGGAACATTTGAACATCTTCTTAAATCCGAAAGTTCTAACAATTTAATAGCAAAAAGTACCTAAATTAATAAGTTATTGAATATTGTAATAATACTATAATTAGCCTTGTAATTGATTACTTTATTTTACTTTAATTCATATTAATTTGTATTTATAAATACATCTTTAAGATTTCCGATGTAAGAATAAGTTTTCAATAATAATAAAGCACTAAATAGGTAAATTTCTGAAATGACAACTTCATTTGACAGTTATCTTTTACCTTCACTGGTGTTCATAAGTAAATACAGGGCCATAAGAAAGGAGAAATATTTGAAAAGAAATCGGCGATAACTCGTAAACGAGTTAATCAAAAATATCTAAAGTTATTCTTTTGAATGTGGGTTTTAGTGCTCTTCAATAAACCTAAATAGAATTATTCTCTAAAATAATTAGGGAAGCCAATAATTGACCCCATTAAAATTTACATGGGATTTCCTATGTCTCGTCCGACGATGCAACACCCGGTATATCGATATCGACTATACTCTGTTTTTTTTTTCTCAGGTAAGATTTCGACAGACGATGACAGAAGAAAAGCAGATGACGTCCCATACCAATCAATTTATTTTACTAAAAAAAGTTTCTAATAATTTTTAAGTTAACTATGGATGGGTTTAAATATAAATCCGTCATGCGTCGTCTCTTGTTGTTTTTAACCGGTTTTATTGGTTTATTTCAAAAATGACAGATCGTATTTCAATTTTATTGGTTTGCCGGAACGATGAACGACAAACGGACGCCGATGCGTATGAACTCGCCTTTAGATTTTTGACGCTTGTCAAAGTCTTGCCAAATTAGAGGTTATAATTTTGTGTCAACTTTTGTCAGTTTTGTCAAATACCCTGCGTTTTGGAAGATGATGCATTTTGATTCGTGTTATTACGTGTGTTTTGTGTCTTTTGAAGTCAAGTGGAGGAAAAATCGAGTGAAAATTAACTGTAGACCCAGAGCACAGTTTTTGGTTAATACTCGCTGCCCAGGCAAAAAGTCTTATACACCAATAAAGTTACCATCTATAAAGTTCGTATATCATCTCATCGTAGATAAGTGCATCTCGAATATGGTAGAAGAACCATACTAAAAACATACTAAAAACTGGAGTAGGTGTAAAATATCGACATCACACGATAGGTAAATAATAGATTTTAGTACTGCACAAGAAAAATAATGCCAAAGGTACTGGTTTAGTTTAGTTTTAATAAAATAGTTTGTTTTATTTATGTTGTTTTCTTTATTCCTGTGGAATATTACAAATTTGTATTTGTACATAAGTTATATTGATAAATATAATCATAAATGCGGGAAGTTTCATAAAGCTTGAACGAAAATAAGAAATAGTTCTTTTTTATATTTTTTTGGTATGTGGTGTCTTGTTCTTGTTTGTTTTGTATTAACACATACCGTTTTTTATTAAATTAAATAACTCGATTACTTTTTTTCAGTTTTATACAGTTTTTTTCACAATATTTTGAAGTAATCACTTGTCAGTCAAATTTTAAATATAATAATTTCCTGCTATGCGTTCCAGTTTTACCAACTTATTTCTTTGTAAAATAAAATAAACTACTTCGAAATTAAAATGACAGACACATCTATCACTGTCAAGGATCTTCTCGTTGCACAGACTATATCTAACTCCAATGTACAGGATGGGCCAAATTGGATACTTTTAAAGGGAAACCGCCTTTTCTATAGGAGATAGACGAAAACTAATATCGGTGTCTGTGGCTCAATTTTTTTTCAAAAACATTATGGTAAAAACCGCACATCGATATCTGTTACCGTTTCAGAGTTACGAGTGTTTTTCAAAAATGTGCATATTTAACAAATCGTAACTTTCTTGCTATCGAAAGTTTTTATTTTTATAAAAAAAACATTTCTAGAGCACCTTTTTACGTAGAATTCCATGTATTTTTAATTCACTGAGATTCTTCTCCAAAAATATAGCACCCTTGATATTTTGTTCAAGTCTTCTTCGAAATACAGAAAAATTCGCCACTTTTAACTAATATATGCTCTGGGAATCTCTCGTTGATGATCTGCCCCTAATCGAACTTGAAAGTGTATTTTTCAAGCAAGACCAGGTACAGCCTCACAATGCTGAAATTATCAGCAATTTTTTGCAGCCAATTTCGAGAATAATCGAATAGTTAACCAAGGTCTTGGTCTAGAACTTAACGCCTATGGATTTTATCTTTGAGGAGGACTAACGGTTCTTATTTTTAAATTGCCCGAATACTCTAGACAAGAATTAGATGTACAGTAGAAAAGGGTGTTTCCCTTTAAAAGTGTCCAATTTGGCCCATCCTGTACGTTCTATTTCTCATATAGTCATTAGATATTTTTTTTTATTAATGTTAAAAACCAAGGGATGTTTCTATGCACTTATACCACATACTTTATACTGTTTATTCTATTATTAAAAATATTATATTATTATGGTTTAAAAACAGAAATACTAAACTAATTGCCGATTAATTGTCGATTTGGGATGTCTTGAGTGGATTCAAATCCAGGCAATTTTTTGATAAACATGACTTTTGCATGAAATTAACTTTAAATTTCTTGAAAAACTGATTTTAAAATATTTTTTATGTAGAAACTGCCTTTAGTAAAAATATATAAAAAAAGTGCAAGACTTGCAAGATTAAACCTAAATGAATCTTGGTCTTGGTCTTGTATTTGCTTTGCCTCATCACTACTTGAGAATGAATATTATTACTATAATATATTTTTAGTCGATTTTAATTTTAATGCTTGTTATATCAAAGAAATGTGCGTAAAAAATATTAATTAAATCCTGAAATAGTTAAGGAGATAAATTCGTACATTATAAAAAAAGCTTTTGAAAATTATAGAACTAAAAAATCTCCGAAAACTTTAGTTGCTTTAGGAAGGTTTATAAAATTACAACATTAAAAATTTCACTGTTCCATTGTACCTATTTACTATTTACTAAATTATCCACCCTATCTAAATAATGATATTTTTATTTATATGATCTATTTGCTACCTTAATGCAAATAGCAGTAATATGAACTTTGTTTTATGAGATTATATTATATGAATTTCTTTATATATTTAAAAAGAAAAAGTTTAAAGCATTTTTTTCTCAAATGTACCAATCGAATATTATATGTTGCTAATTTTAAATACAAACAACCACGCTGATTTTTATTACTTATTGTTTATTTTATTGGGCGTATAGATCCAAAAAAAAATAATTAAAGGTTTCAGTAGGTATGTTCTATGAAGTTTTTGAAATATTTAACAAAAGTTATTTAATCAAAATCTGACTTACCAAACTTTTAGCAAAAAAGTGCATATTCGTTTTTCATCAAAATAATCACATCGTCAAAATATTCACCATTATTTCCTATTACTGTTTTCACAACATTTTGGTAGGGAATTATATCCTCTTATCATTTCTTATCATTTTATTTAGTCACTTTATCAGTTGTTCTACATACACACATATTAGAAATTTCAACATCCACGAAGCAGGTAATTTGCTCGACTATTAAAACATCTTAAAACCACTTTGTTTAATAATAAAATTTGCAGATAAATTGGATTTATATTAAGCTCTTCATATTACTAAGTTAAATGATATTTTGATTAAATTCAACTCACTGAAAATGTTACTTTAAACACAAAACATTCACTAACATTACCAACCGTTCAATATTCTAACATCTACTAAATGGTACCACGGATTCTTTCTGCAATTTTTTTGCATGACTCAAAACAGTAGCAGAAACGTTTGTCGATTTGAACCACAACTGTTTTGTTTAGTCTACATTTGGAATACCTTGATTAACGAAGGTACCAGCACAAAGGAAATACTTTTAATATGGTTCACCGTACGTGTTTTTATCCTTAATATTACCTTATACGTACTAAGTAAAACAATAGAGGTTCAGTCATGAATCGCATCGTAAAATCGGTTTGAAGTAAATAGAGACATTTGAATTTCAATGAAAGAAATCGTACTTTTATGAGTGGTATATAGTACCTATTTTGAGAAAAATAGGATTTAATAGTTGATGAATTATACAGGGTGTTCTGGATAAACATCTAAAAGGGATCTCATAAACTAAAGTTAGGTAAAGAATATTCCTTTACCCTTTTTGTGAATCTAAATAAATGTTTAATGCTTATGAGATTTCAATTTTTATGATGACGAGTCCACACTAAACTGTGCAGACCCGGCGGCCTGTGACGCCGGCCAAAGTCAGTTTGCTGAAATTCTTAAAAAAGTTGCGGCAATCAAAAGCCGGCGGCACGACTAGTGCGGCTCGAAATGCTTGGGGTCAAAATAGGTCAAATGTCGCCAGAGTTGGCGTGATTTAAATCAAGTGATTTTTTAGATTTTAATCATGTGATTTAAATCAAAAAAAATAATTTTATTGAAACTTTATAATAAATGAAAAAAAAAATAACTGTAGAAGTTATAAAAATGCGTCTCATAAAAAAATAATATAGAATAAAAATATTTCCATAACAGATATAACAGATAATAAATAGAAAAAATAATTGTAATTGTTATAAAACTATTTAAAAATATCTATTCATCAATTTAAATGTTGGACCGATTTTTGAAGTAATTTCGTGTGAATCCACTACACGGCTAAACGCAGGGATTTATTTTAAAATTTATGTATAACAGCGCTTTCAGATGGAGCGGAGCGTCCGCGACGGACCGTCCGCGACTTCGAGCAAGTACCGTGAGTTTATATATGAACAATTTCACATGGATCGCGTATGCTCCGTCCGGATGAGTGCTATCTTGAAAAAACATCCGCGCGGATGGACCGCTCCATCTGAAAACGCTGTAAGTGACTAGAATTCGCTGTTCGAAAATATAACATTCGCAAAATCTAATGCACAACTAGGTTCTTCTGATATAGAGACTATCTTCATTCCCGAGAATCTATAATCGTTGTCAGAAAATATGTATGTTGTTTTACTTTTTTTTGAAACGGTTGTATGTTTCCAAATTCCTATCGACATTTTGATGTGCAGTAAGTACTTTACACTTTGACATATAGATAATACATACTAATTTCATCTCGACTTAAAACTATTTCCGAATAGTGTATGGTTTTATGAGGAGTAAAAATTATACTTTTTTTGACTATGCTGTACCTTTGAAGAACCATCGCGTCGTAAAGTTATTCTGACGTACAGGGAGGCACAAAAAGTACATTTTTACTCCGAATAGAACATACTATTCTTTTTTAAACATTACAAATAATTTTTTAATCAATTTCAAATATTGCAAATAATATAAACAGTAATCGAGCAACAATTTGTACACTCGTTGAATTTGGACACTTAATATCAGTTATATATATTATATATTTTTGTACTTTTGTACTTAGGCGTAACAGTGCTTTATAAGTGTGCCTAGGGGTTAAAATGACAAAAATTAATACTTTTGAGACGTTTGAAAAAACATCCTTAAGCGAGCGACTTTTTTTGCGGATATTGGTAACCGATGTGGAAAAATGACACGCGCCGTAGAATTGTTAATGTTATCGGTATATCGGCCAGATTTATAAAGATTTAGCCAATTAGGATAGGATTTCAACTGGAAATAAGTACTAGTCATTTAGAAATCCGATTTAAATATTGTTTTGAATTATAATAAACAAAATCTGATTTAAATCAAAAAAATTTGATTTATTTGATTTTTTCCAACCCTGAATGTCGGTAAAGATTTAAGGAATGTCGAGCAACCGGCGACCAGTCCTCTTTTTGGGTTCAGCGAGTTGTATGAAATTTCTTTATTCAAGCATTGACAGTTCCTTTTGAGAGAAATTGATGGAGAAGAAAAGATACATACAAAACAGTCTAGAACCGGAGTGGAATTAAAAAATAGTAATATTGTTGCTAGAGCTTTATCATAAAGAGTACAATTTATGGAATCTTAAAAATGGGTAAACAGTAACAGGGGCATGCGGTGAAATTTTAAGTCAGTCAGGGAAGCAATTTTTATAAACTTATCTATTTGTAATGTAATTCGATTTCAGTGTGAATTCATTCATCATCAGACGTCCGTTGGTAAATAATATAGGTAATAGTTGCCTGTGTATAGCTGTAGATGTCGTCGGAAGAAAACAATATTGCGTTGACTACTGCTGCTATTGCAGAGACAAGAGAAAAATAGAAGAAGAGTTTGGATTTGTTCGTATTTAATGTTTATGTACAAGACGGAGCCGGTGGTTGACTGTATCGCCAAACTACAAGTATCTCCAAACCGAGCTCCAAACATTCCAAAAGTTTGAACCTGAATAAATCCTACATTAAATTGAAGGGGTGGCTGCAATAAACAGGCAGCTCCATTTTAATAAATGTGTGGGAAATCGAAAAATAACTGCTCGGTTCTTGCTGCCAAAGCAAGGCAGCTACAATTAACGTCGCCATTTGTATGTACTGCTATATTGAGAGAACTGATTGTTGCAGGAAACGATCGGGCCAATGTTTTTAAAGGATAATTCATTAACAGTCTCATTTTCGAAAAAAAGTGGAGCTGCCTGGTTATTGCAGCCACCCCTTCAATTGTTCATCCGTTAAACATTATTGTTTGCTAGCTTCGCAAAAAACTAAAAGTGATAGTCAAACAACCTCAGCCTATACTACCTATTATTAGTATACCACACACCTATTTGTATAGGTATTGCCTCAGCGCATCTTGGAAACACGTCGCACAGTGTCAAAATAGGTTTTCACACTAAAGTAGCATACCACGTACTACTTGCTGGCGAGAAGCAGGAAGCACACTACTTGTTATACAACATATTGATAGTTTCACACCAGAGTTGCGTTGCAAAAATACGACGGAATAACTACAACTCGAATATGAAACAGGTTGTATAATTTAACCAGTAGCACACCTAGAGATTGAGTTTGGAGGAGCAGTGGCCAGTATTTAAGTAAAGTACTTTAAAGTTTCAATTAAATTTGCACTGAAAGGAATTGTGACTATGGAAGAAAATTGAATTGGTCTGGATTTTCGATTTTGATTGATATTTACATACTAAATTATGATTGAATATAACAAACGATGTCCAAGTAATAACGCAATCAGTAAGAACTTTTTGTATCTTTAACATTATATTTGGCACCGTTAAATCAGTTTTCTTAGTCACTTCGTCTTCGTTTTTCCCTATCGTCTGTTTTTCCCCTTATTACCCGGTGTTACACTATACGTTTTAGGGGCTACGTTAAAAGCGCGAGCGTTTCAGCGGCACCGGCAGCAACCATATACCCTATAATACAGAGCGCCCATGATTACTGATGTTCAGTCCTAAGATAAGACATTTTAATTTATATAATATATATACATGAGTGATCCATGAGTAAGATGCTTTACTTGAATTTTAGATGTACTAAAAAAAATAGATTACTAGACCAAACTACACTAGCAATGCCTTAAACATACATCAAAATAAATTACATTGCATGTTCCGGTATACCGGTCTTGAAAAAGACGATACCTATACCGAAATATTTCAAAAGTACCGGTCCTGGTACCTGTATACCGGAAGACCGAACATGCCTACCCATGATGCGCCAAAAACGCATAGTGTAACAGGTCTCACATAAAGTCCTGTTTTGTCGCCATCCCTGCGTTTTTACTGCAGCCGCAAAAACGTACAATCCTTATCTTCATATAGAGTAATTAATTTTTCGGAAAATTGACAAGAAATATTACACATACTTAAAAATCTATTTATATCTTTTTAGCCGGTAATTGAAATAATGTATCAGTAAAACGGTATTTTTTCCGTATCTGATTTTGAAATCTAAAAAAAAGTAAATAACTTTTTCGTGACATTTATCGATATTTTCATAAATTATAGATAAACACGGAGATATACAGGGTGTCCCAGAAATAAGTGCAAGTATTTTAGGAGATGGTAGCTCGATAAAAGAAACATATTTTCTCTTTATCGTTTTTCAAATAAGTCCAAAATAATGGAGTTATTTTATTTTGAAAATTTCCAAAAAAAAATGATTTTTTGATGCTAAAATTTTGAGAACCACTGGATCTTTTCTGGATTTTCTTTCTTATAAATTTAATCTAATACCTATGTTGCCATATTATAAAAAAATATTTTTTTTTAACCAACAAAATTCCAACATATTTTTCAAAAAATTTTGAATTTTCAAAAAAAATTTTTCGCGAAAAAACCTCATAGGCGTGTTTCTGGGGTTGAACTAGACCTGTTCGGTGTTAAAATATGAACACCGGTGTTAGGTGTTGATGACCACCGGTGTTTCAGTCGGTGTACCGGTGTCAACACCGACACCGGTGTTCATTTCAGCACCGGTGTTCATCTACAACACCGGTGTTTACCTTGACACCGGTGTTTATATCTCAACACCGGTATCGCGATGAACACCGGTGTTGAGATCAACACCGGACCGGTGTCGATGTCGATGGTGCCGTTTGTTTTTTTTTAAATTGTAATGTAATATTTTTTTTTTCTTTATATTTTGTTTTGTTTTCTGTTTGTTTTCGATTAAACAATTTTTTACTTTATAGTTGTTTATCTGACATTTCCACTTTATTTTAGTGATTAGTCTGGCAAAAAAAATATATTTAAATTTGAAAGATTTAAGTTAAAGTCCGTGTGCTTTAATAAACGATAAAAATAAGCACCGATACGACATTATTATTATCAGGTTTATTTTGAACTTATAAATTAACATTATTTCTTCTTTAACCGGCCGTTTACCAAACATGGGTGTCGATATCAAAACCGGTGTCGTAGTTAAAACCGGTATCGAGATGAACACCGGTGTCCACACCAACGCCGGTGTCGATATGAACACCGGTGTTGTAGATGAACACCGGTATCGAAATGAACAACGGTATCTATATATATACCGGTATTATAATATACCGGTGTCGGTGCTAACACCGGTGTCGGTGTCGACACCGGAACACCGGATAGCCCATATTTGGCCACCGGTGTCAGAACAACACCGGTGTTCAAACGGTGTTCCGGTGTTTGGAACAGGCCTAGGTTGAACTATACTACCAGTTAAAATACTTGCACTTATTTCTGGGACACCCTGTATAATGCCATATTTTGCGTACTTCAAAACATGGATAATTCTTATAATCAATCAAAATAAAAAAAGAGTTAATTGAAATAAATAGCCCTAATCTATAATAACATCGTCATGTTTTTTATACAAGTACCCTGTTATGGCGGGGTTGATCAGAAAACCTACATACACTTTTATATAAAATTGTGGTTAGGGGATCGATTTTGATGATTTTTTAAGTAATTTGTAGCTAAATTATTTGACTTTTTAGTATTTCTTAGGTGCCTGGTGGCCTAGAGGTACAGCTCTCGTCTACCAATTCAAAGCTTGTGGGTTCGAATCCTACAGTCGGCATTTCATCAGCCGACGATTTTTAATAAAATAAAAATAGTTTGGGTACCTAGGTCAACTCAGCCTTAAATGAGTACTTGGGATTCACAATCCTGAGGTAATAATAGGCGGTTGAAGCGTAATGCTAGCCACATTATCTTCCTTGTATACTGAACGGCTCTAGTATGACAAGCTGTACCTTGCTACTCCCAAGGAGTTGAACGCTACGGGAGCTATTATCATTATAGTATTTCTTTTTAAATTAAAATTGTAAGTTTCCATTTGTCAGTTATTCGAGGGAAAACAAACTGTTGATATTTTGGTAAATGTTTGAAATACTCTGTAGAATCTGTTAAGACAGCAAGGAATTTACAAATCATCTAGGCACATCCTTTCTCGATAGTTTGTTTATTGGTTAGGTTTATCTAAATAACTTTTTTTTTTGTTGGATATATTCGCTTTTGAAGAAGACACTAAATTTTTTGCACATTCTTTTTTCGTAATTTTTACATTAAAACGATGCTTTGCTTTTGGTTTGATGCTACCTAGTCAACAGACCTCGTAAGTTGTGGTCCCGAAGTAGGCCTTCTTGACATAAGATTTGCTTCGTTTATTCTTCTTCTTACGTCTGCGTTCCTTAGACGCAATTCATTATAAATTTGAAAAGCTGACAAACGGCGCTTTCTTAGCAATAAGCTTACAATAAGTCAATCGAAAGAGACACTAAAAAGCCAAATAATTTAGCTACAAATTGCTTAAAAGATCACCAAAACTGGTCCACTAGAACACAATATTTAAAACTTTATTTAGGTGTTCGTTTTTCGTGCCGGTGTGTGTAGTTACAACAACAATAAAACTGTGATTCAAATTTACTTCTCTTGATGGCATTCAGTTACTCCGAGAACTGTCTTCAATCGTTCTATAAGTTTTCTTTCTTTTGTCACTTAGGAGATTTTTAAATTTCTCTCAAGAAGCCATATTTTTGTGGCTTAGTTTTTTTTGTGTTGTCTCAGTTATAGAAAAGTATCGAGAATATATTGTATAGAGATGGGCTTGTTTAACCCCATCTCTATACAATGAGGGAACAATTTAATCGTTTGAAAGTTATCTTTTTATACTGCACTTTATCTCTGTGAATGGTCATTGTTGTGTACATTATAAACTAAAACCAGGAAGGAATTGAACGTACATCTACCGTGTCTTATACAACTTTATCTATACTTAAATATCAACTTCGCATATATTACTTATACAATCACTTATCTGGATCGAAAAAAACTGATGTGATTATATTCATATGTTATGTTGCAATGTAACTGACATTTTGTTTTTTTTTCAGGAAAACATGCGCCAGTCTGAAGAGTTCTTAGCTACTATTGCCAATTCATTATACGATAAGAAAGAAATAAAATCTGAACCAGATGACAGTATTAACGCACACGCCATTGAAGATGGGCAAGAAAGCACCACGACCAACGAAGACTTTTCCAGTGAAGCACCGCAGTCAACACCCGTTATTGTTGCTGTTCCCACCGAGTGTGCCGCCGTTCAGTTGGATGCACAAAAACCATTAAGTTTACACAGGGACCCTACAATATTAAACGACGATACGCCTCCACAGTATAGAAAACCGTTATTCTTACATAAGGAACCTTCGGCAGTACACGGCGATCCGAACGAATCCATAGTTTTGCGCGCCAGCAGTCGCAGTTTACAAAACGAACCGCTGGAATTGCACAAGGAATCGACTGGATTATCGAACGAGCCCTTGAATTTGCAAACCGAACCTCTAAATCTTTATAACGATTCTGAGATGCCGGACCAGAAGCACGTCTCTGTAATTTCAACAACGCCTAATGTTGCCCAAGTATGCAAAACTGAATTGACTAGTAGTGGAGTCGAAGATGTTGACTTTCCATGTAAAGAATCTTTTATCAAGGTCAAACCGTCTTTTGTTTTGCAGGTAAAGTCATATCCTTAAAATTTGTCTAACGAGAGAATACATGGCACTCATAGTTGTTGCCGGTCATTTTAATTCATAAGGTGGAATCTCATGTATCCGATTGGCGATGGAACGATGATTAGAATTAGAATGAGTGGGAGGGGCGTTAATCACTGCGACCTTACAGATCTATTGTGTCATCATACAGTCCCAGGGCTTTAACAAAAGCCAGTATTTGGGACTGTTTGACAGAGGGTAATTCACCATCTCCAATATCAGTCGTATCAAAGTTCATGGCACTAATAGTTGTCGTCTCGGCGCACTCAGTGATGAGGTGTTCTGGTGTATCCCCATTTTCCCCACAGAATCTGCATTCGCCGTTTCTTCTTAGTTTCAATCTACTGATGTGTTCATTGAGGAGACAGTGTCCTGTTAAAAAATCCGGGACAATCCGAAGATTGTTCTTACTTAAATCCAGGAAGATCTTCGATTTTTCTTGGTCGTAAGCTCTCAAAAACTTCTTCCGGTGTCTTAGACCGTTGCAAAATGTCCATTCCAGGTTACGGATCTTCTTCCAAGTAGTCGGATTCTTTCAAGTAGTGATGGGAAAAACCGGATAATTTCAATAATCGAGTACTCGAGTTTCAAGCGATTGCAATAACCGAGTGATCGCTCGAGCGAAATATCACTCGTATTTAAAAATACGGTTTTCACCCGTCGCTTGTTGTAACGGTACTCATTAACGCCAAGCGCCAAGCAGTAAGTTGCGTGCGCAGTGATGAATGATGAATGGCAAGAAGCAAGCGGCGAACGATTCGCTTGATCGCTTGATTTAATTTATTTCTAAGCATTGTCGATGTAGGTCGTAAAATTTTGTCCCTCAGATACTCAACGGATAAATATACAGGGTGTCCCAGAAATAAGGGCAAGAATTTTAAGGGGTGGTAGATCTCGATAAATCTCTCTATTAATCGGTAATTAATTCTCGGTAGATCTGGAGTTATTTTGCTTTGAAAATTTCCAAAAAAAAATTACTTGTTGCTAAAATTTTGAGAACCACTGGATCTTTTCTGGGTTTTCTTTTTTGTAAATTTAGTCTACAACCTATGTTGCCATATTATCAAGAAATTATGTTTTTTAACTAAAAACTAAAAAAAAGTCCAAAAAATGTTTCAAAAAATTCCGAATTTTTAAAAATTTTCCTGCGCGAAAGAAACTTCATAGGCGTGTTTCTGGGGTTGAATTATACTACCAGTTAAAATACTTGCACTTATTTCTGGGACCCCTGTATATGTATACGGCGTCGTATAAATTTGCTACCACAATGTCTACATACATTGCAGGTAGCAAATTTATACGACGCCGTATATATATATATATATATATATATATATATATATATATATATATATATATATATATATATATATATATATATATATATATATATATATAGATATATATATTAATTTATCTATATATATATATATATTATATATATATAATATATATATATATAACCAATATATATATATATATCTCTCATATATATATGTTAGATTTTAATTAATTTGATCTATCTATTTCGTAAATTACCAAAAATAATACAACAATTAACCAAAAAGTGAATATATTGATCTCTCACATACAGAGGAAAATAATCAACTAATTTAAATATTGTTATCGAACACAACTTCGGTCATCATTTCTCGGATATTATGGCTGGGCGGCAGCGGCGTTGCCGCAAATTACTTTATCTTAAGAGTTTGGCCTTCTCAGGTTACATCAGGTGATTTGGATTTGTTAATTAATTCGAGCTTTATGACGTTCATTGCTTCTCTGTGTATGACATATCAAATAAGGGGTATCTAACATATATTTATCCGTTGCGTATCTGAGGGACAAAATTTTACGACCTACATCGACAACGCTTAGAAATAAACTAAATCAAGCGATCAAGCGAATCATTCGCCGCTAGCTACTTGCCATTCATCACTGCGCAAATTCGCTCGGCTTTTTATCGAGTATGTCACATTAAAATCGGATTTCAATTTATTTCATTCTAGGATCGCTTGCGTTCGTGGCTTGGTACTCGTCACTTCGCTCGTTCATAATCGAGCGATGTCGGTTATTTCAATAACCGAGTACTCGAGCGAATTTTCGCTCGAGTTATCCCATCACTACTTCCAAGTTCTTGAGTTCCGCTTTTAGTTGGTTACCAGTTGGGAAGCAGAACCCTTCTGGTCCAGTTAGTAAAGTGTTCGCTCCTTTTCTAGCTAGATCATTTGCTTTTTCTGCCTTTTATTCCTTGATGAGCAGGCACCCAGAGTAGGAGGACTTTATAAAATTTTTTTAAAAAGTTTATAAATCGTAATGAATAAGATTTAAATAGTTTTCTTTTTGTAAACAAATGAGCTAGCAATATTATCGTTTTAGCTCGTGTACATTTTGTACATTTGTTGCTTTAAAAAAAAATCTAAAATGTCAATATTCGTTGGATAAAGGACGTACAAAATAAAAACCGTTGTACGCTATCGATTAGGCTAGTAAATAGATACGTGATGATATATATTATTGTGATGGTATATATTACTTTATAAATTATTTAAACTATATATAATATTTAACAACCGTGACCATGTTTTTTTATTGGGGAGAAAAGTGCTTTTTGCGCACTTCCACTTTAAAAGATATGTTGTTGTTGGTCTCGTTCATTTACTAATCCAGGCAGTATGGGATTCGGGATTACTTCTCTATACACCACTAGAAAACTACTTCTCTTCTCTGGCAACCGGGACCATGTACTATGATCACCATTTATCCATATTGAATATTTTCAATTTTTTTATTGTATCTACACAACAATTTTTTACTCATTTTATTACTATTTAGGCACCGAGACCAGTAAAACAGGAATTTTCCTACCAGGAAGATGATATTGAACCTGCAGATCTTTCTAAAAGTAAAACATTTGAAAATATTCTAAATGTCACGATTAAAGAAGATGACATGGACACTCAGTCTGTTTCAAGTGCCAGTTCTGATCCAGATAGGTTAGAAGTCGATATGTCGCAGGTATGATAGCGGAAAATATAATCCTAAGTATAAAGTGGTATAGAAAATATTTCGTTTTTATTCAGGCGGCAGACGATCATAATACCAGTTCTACCAGTAGTGCTACACCTCCTCACGAAAGACCGCCTGATGCGTCAGATTGGTGCTTCAATCAGAATAATGGCTTTAATGCTGGGATGCCTGTTTTATCAGGTAATATAGAAATTAGATATTATTTATTTACATTTACATCACACATGGGAGAAATATTAAAAGTTTATAAATCGTAATGAATAAGATTTAAATAGTTTTCTTTTTGTAAACAAATGAGCTAGCAATATTATCGTTTTAGCTCGTGTACATTTTGTACATTTGTTGCTTTAAAAAAAATCTAAAATGTCAATATTCGTTGGATAAAGGACGTACAAAATAAAAACCGTTGTACGCTATCGATTAGGCTAGTAAATGTGTGCAGTGCTGCCACTGCGCAAATATAGCCCTAATGGGACGTTTTCAATGAGTTTTAAATTTTCTTCTAGATATTGTGTTGGCAACGCCAAGGAAGTGGTTGCAGCAATGCCACGCTTATTTGACTTTTGTCAGAATTTTCTGAACGGTAATTGAGAGTTGTATCTCGTCTCGTGCGTATTGTGTCATTTAAAGTGTTTAAAGCCTTTATCTAGCTATTATTGGAAACTGTTGTTTTCAGAATATTTTGTGTAGTAGTTGCATAGTAGTTGTTAGTTTTTTCTTTGCAAAATGCACAAACATTTAAATAGTCGGTGCACAAGGTTATTATATTAAACAGATTGCCTCGTAACTTTGGACCAATCACAGTAGTTGTAAAATTACGGCGATGACGCATGACGTCAGTTAGCGTGATATTTAAAATAACTATTGTCAAGAAAAATGGCGCATCCGCCAGAAATTAAAAATGTATTACTGGTTGCCTGCACAACCGCAACGTATCCGCCAGAAATTAAAAGACTTTTTCAGGCGCCATCTTTTAGTCAAGTCGAGAAGTAAGGGAATCAGACAATAGAATTGTCTGGTATGAAGAAGTACGCTTTCCGAGAATTGGGGAAATTTCGAGAAGCAGTCAATAGAGTATATAAGCCGGAGCCATCGACAACTGAGACAGTTTTTTGAAATTTGAATATACCGCGTGGAAATTGAAAATCGGACAATTTGGTGAAGGAATCTTATAAATAGTTAGTTTGTTGTGTGTTATAAGTTAGTAATTGTGTATAAAGTGAGAAAATAAATTCGTTAAGTATTTTATCGTGAGTTTAAATTAGTGGACCCACGGAATCCGTAACAATTGGTGTCAGAAGTGGGATTCAAGAGGATTTTAAGAAGAAATTAAGTGGATTGGACGATTTTACACCGAATTTGGGAATTTTTATGGTTGGTACGAGACAGCAAGCGAAGAAAATGGAGGAAGTAAGCAAATTATTGGGCGATTTTATGGAGAATATGAGAAGAGAAAAGGCAGAAGAACAAGAGAGGCTGAGAAAAGAAAAAGCAGAAGAGCAAGAAAGACTCCGTAAAGAACGAGAAGAAGAGCGAGCCCGACTAGAAAAAGAGAAAGCAGAAGAACAAGACCGCTTACTGAAAATTCTAGAAAATCAAGAAATTAAACAGGACCGGCTTGAGAACATTTTCGAAGATTTGAAAATTCAACGACAACAAGACAAACAAGAAGAACAGGACCGGCTTGAGAGAATTTTTGAAGATTTAAAAATTCAACAACAAGATAAACAAGAAGAACAGGACCGACTTGAGAAAATATTAGGTAATTTAGAAATTCGTTTGGAGGAGCGACGTCATAGAGAAAGACAAGAAGATCAAAATCGTCTTAAAAAGAACTTCGAAGATCTGGAAAAAAGACAAGAAATACACCTTCAAGAAGCCGTAGAAGATCTGGAGGAGCGACTTCAACAGAAAATGGAAAAATTAGAGATGGACCTACAGAAGACCAAGGTACAAGTAAGGACACCTGGCGTTCATGGAACTGCGAACCTCAAGGCCCCGACCTACGATGGACAGACCACCTGGACGATGTACCACCGCCAGTTTGAAGCAGCGGCTGCTGCCAATGGATGGACTGACCAAGAGAAAGCAGCAGCACTTGTCATCGCGCTGCGCGGCCCTGCCCTGGAACTGCTGCAAACTATTCCTGCAGCCCAACAGCAGGAATACGAAACCTTGGTTGCTGCATTGGACAGAAGATATGGCGATCAACATCGACGTCAACTTTACCAGGCCCAGATCAAGACACGCCTGCAGAGGTCCGGAGAGAGTCTGCAGGAATTTGAAGCAGACTTACGTCGGCTGGTACACCTAGCGTATCCTGAAGCACCGGAAGGATTTAGGGAGGAACTCGCTGCTCAGTGCTTTATCAGCGGACTGAGGGACAATGAATTACAGAGGGCGCTGCAAATATCGCGATTTTCTACCAGCAGCGAAGTACTCGTCAGGGCGCTGGAAATAGAAGCTGCATTTAGCGCCATTCCTAAACCGAAGATAGGCTCGGTAACGGTTGAGGAACAGCCAAAGAGTTCTCACATACGTTTGGAGGAGATGTTTAATAAACTATGTGAATTACTAGTGAACAAGAGAGTCAACAACACCCAGACAGAGAACCAAAGAAGATTCCAGGATATGAGGTGCTATGGATGCGGCAGGAATGGCCACATCAAACGAGATTGTCGCATCCAAATGCGATTCCATTCACCATCCAGAGAACATCGGCACATCGGAAGATCCCAGGACATAAGTTGCTATAGATGTGGCAGGAATGGCCACATCAAACGGGATTGTCGCATCCAAATGCGATTCCATTCACCATCCAGAGAACATCGGCACATCGGAAGATCCCAGGACATAAGTTGCTATAGATGTGGCAGGAATGGCCACATCAAACGGGATTGCCGCGTCCAAATGCGATTCCGTTTACCATCGAGAGAACATAGGCACCAGGAAATCAACACTAATGAGCGAGTATTGGCTGAAGAAAACAGAGCCCCTAGGATGTTTTCCGTTAGGAGTCTAGGAAAAACCGCTGACAGTTTGGTGATCAACGGGAAGGTCAATGGTAGAAGAATTCGAATGACTGTGGACACAGGCGCTATGGTATCGTTGGTGCGGACTAACTCGGTGCAAGGATTGAAGATGATGCCTCTTAGAAGAAGAGTGTATTTACGTACAATTACGGGGGAAATGGCCGTTGTACGGGGAGAGGCTTTCATAGAACTGGAGTTAGGGAATTTGAAGTTTCGGCATAGCGTTTTAGTGGCAGACATTGAAGATGATTTTATCATGGGTATGGATGTGATCAGTCAACATGGTTTTTCGTTCGATCACCATAGAAACATCCTGAAAATCGGAAATGAGGAATTTTCTGTATCTAAAGAGAAGAGACCAGGAAATAAGGAAGAAAGATCATCGAAAATTGTGATGATACCTGGTGATACCAAGAAGACTGTGTTCGGGAAACTAGAGAAAACCGTTGGGTGCCGTGTAGGACGGATACAAATTATCGACAACGAACCAGATCGACGACGAGCTACCTTGGGCAAGAAAATGAAACATCGTGAAAGCACTATCAGAGTAAGGAATTTTAAATTGAGAACTGACGAACAATGGACGACGATACAATTGAGAAAAGATCAAATGGAAGATCCAGACATCGGAGCAATACTACGGCTCAAGGAAGGTAACAGCGAGAGACCACCGTGGCAGGATATTGCGGACAGAGGGCTCGTTTTCAAAGCTCTCTGGGCTCAGTGGAATTCACTGGTGATTGAGAATGGATTGTTAAAGCGCACGTGGGAAAGTGCGGATGGCAGGACAGTAACAACTCAGTTACTGGTACCAAGGAAGAAAGTTATCCAGGTATTGGAAGAAATTCATGGTGGTAAAACTGGAGCCCATCTTGGGGTAAACAAGACCCTGAGCAAGCTGAGAGACCGTTTTTACTGGGTGGATTATTGTGAAGATGTTAAGAAATGGTGTCAACGTTGTAAGATTTGCGCAGCTAGACAAGGACCAAGTACTCGATCTGGAGGAAAAATGGAACAAGATAACGTTGGACGGTCGTTCGAAAGAGTCGTTAGGAAGGAAAGATTATTGGGAATTCATAAGGCCGTGAGAAGTAAGATTACGCTAGCCAGTGACCGGATGAAAGCTCGTTACGACCTCAGAGCTAATTCTACGGGATTTCAACAGGACGATAGAGTATGGTTGTATAATCCACAGCGCAAGAAAGGAAGGTCCCCAAAGTTAACTCCAGCATGGGAAGGTCCTTATACAGTCATCAAGAGGATAAATGATGTAGTGTACCGGATTCAACGCAGCCCTAGAAGTAAGATGAAAGTAGTTCATCTGGATCGATTGAAGAGATACCAGACAGGAAACCTTGATCGGGACGATCAAATTTGAGAAGGGGGCAATGTCAAGAAAATGGCGCATCCGCCAGAATTAAAAATGTATTACTGGTTGCCTGCACAACCGCAACGTATCCGCCAGAAATTAAAAAGACTTTTTCAGGCGCCATCTTTTAGTCAAGTCGAGAAGTAAGGGAATCAGACAATAGAATTGTCTGGTATGAAGAAGTACGCTTTCCGAGAATTGGGGAAATTTCGAGAAGCAGTCAATAGAGTATATAAGCCGGAGCCATCGACAACTGAGACAGTTTTTGAAATTTGAATATACCGCGTGGAAATTGAAAATCGGACAATTTGGTGAAGGAATCTTATAAATAGTTAGTTTGTTGTGTGTTATAAGTTAGTAATTGTGTATAAAGTGAGAAAATAAATTCGTTAAGTATTTTATCGTGAGTTTAAATTAGTGGACCCACGGAATCCGTAACACTATTAACAAAATGTTTAATAATAATAACAATTACACAAGTTAAATTGTCTTTCTATAAAATATTTTTTTTATTTTTCTCTAATTTTGCTGACATTTAACATTTTTAGGAAATATTTGTATTCAAAAAAAAATAGCAAAAACAACACTGAACATTAGTCTGTTACAGGTAGGAATGATCTCTATTTCTAAGGAAAATTTGATAAATAATTTTAAAAAATTATCTAGTTCAATTATAATACGTTAAGTACACTAAAACTTAAAAAATATAGTAATCTGTTGTATATTACGAATTTCGGCCAATGTCCAAAGTAATTAGACATATGGCGATTTGTCCATACTAAACTTGCCAGGGGGTTAATCTTTTTTTGGTATAATATAACAACAAAAGATTAACGCCCTCCGCATAGATTCCACAATGCAATCAAAACACTTTCGCGTAACTTTGTGGATATAGGTAGGTATATTTAATTATAATCGCCATATGTCTAATTTTCGGCATCTGCCTCCCAACATATCCACTAAAACTGTCTTATAATCCACTCGAATGCACTTAATACACGGAAAACCTTCGGAAAACAATGTAAAATTATTTGTTAACAAGCTAAAAAACTGCTGAGTACCAGACGATGACGCGCAATATGGCGGCTAATGTCAAGTTACGAAGCAACCTGTTTAATTTAATAACCTTGGTCGGTTCCAAGAATTAGTGTCATCTCTGATACAATATTGTGAGAAGGAAAGGAATAATAACGATCCGTTGAGCCTTGGGCGGCAACCCTTAAAGGCGTTTTGGGAAGTAAGTAACACATAAAAATAAAGATGTTTGGTAAAAACTAACTTTAAAATTGTTTTAAACAATAAAAGAACATGTGCTCTTTAAAAATATTTTTTGAAGCGCTGCACTGCTTGAAATGATTTAAAACTAGATTTAATTTAAAGTTTATTTTAAAATTTTTCATTGATCATAGATATTGTACATTTTTCAAAAATTTTTCTCTTTCTATTACAATCTGGCAACAATGCTGTGTAAAATGTACGCACGTGCTCAATGACGTGCAACGGTTTTTAATTTGTATCTCCTTTATATTGATAAATGAGGTCTAAATTTTAAGAAAATGCATTTTCTACGAAAACTTGTAGAGATAGCTAAAATGGTATAACACAATTTGATAGACAATTAAACTGTGCATCTGATTAACGTAAAATATATAGGGCGTTCCATTTAAATTAAACAAGTTATTGCCGTTTAAAGCTAGTAATTATATGATATAAATTTTTAGACACTCTGTATAAGGTAGTATAATTTTTATTATCGCAACACAAAATTTAGTAAATAGAAAAACTTTAGTACAATATTTGGTTTCAAAAACTTAAATACACCTAGAGAAATGAAGCCTTAAAATTGTTACTGCATTTTCCCAAATCGTAACTGTTTTAAAAACGGTAAGATTAAAGTGCGGTAAACCTTAATCAAATTTACCTTTATTTTAATCGTAGAAACTGAAAATGTAATAATATACAGAGTGTATCATTTAAAAAAATACAACTTTGATATTTTTTATTTATTTGGGACACTTTGTATCTTTTGAAGATAATTTTTTAAAATTTTATATTGTAGCTTTAGTAGTCTTTCAACGATCTCATCACTCACAATTTCTAAAATATCTAATCATTTGGCTACATTACTCGGTGTTGAATGAGGTAAATAACTAGTGATGGGAAAAACCGATTAATTTCAATAATCGAGTACTCGAGTTTCAAGCGATTTCAATAATCGAGCGATCGCTCGAGCGATGTCGGTTACTTCAATAATCGAGTACTCGAGCGAATTTTCGCTCAAGTTATCCCATCACTAGAGATAACATCACATATAGGGCTTTTCAGTCACAGAAAAGCTCATGAAAGAAAACGCGCGACATCTTCTGATGCGTGTCAAATACTCGTCAGCGAGTAATGGCTGTATGTATGTATGTAGTTTAAATGTATTGGTGTTGTTAAATATAGTTTAAAATGTTATAAAATTCTGCATCTTTCACTGAAAATATTATTTTCGTTTTAATTGCTGCCGACAGCTACCGGTAAGTATTTTTCTGTATTACGGCCGGACCCGTTCAAAGCCTACTTATTCAAAGTGGGCGCATTTTAAAAAAACTTTATATCTCGAAGAGGAATCCAGTAAAATATCAAGTATGTTATATTTTTGGAAAGGTAATTTTAAGTTCTTTTCAATGAAATAAAAATATACAGGGTGTCCGATATAAAAATCAAATTTTCTGTTGATAACTCTTAAATTATTAAATTTAAATATTAGAAAAATTATACTTAAATCATTAAATCCTACGTAAAAAGGTGCTTTGGAAATGTTTTCATAAAAATATCAAATTTTCCATAACAAAAAAGTTACAGGGATTTGTTAAAAATACAGATTTTTGAAAAACATCCCTTAACTCCGAAACGGTAACAGATATCGATGTGCGGTTTTTTACCATTATATTTTTGATAAAAATTGAGCTCTAGACACCGATATTAATTTTTCGTCTATCTCCTATAGAAAAGGGTGTTTGTTTCCCTTTTTGTCCAATTTGGCCCACCCTGTGCATTCTATTTCTCGTATCGTCATTAGACAAATTTTTTTATTAATGATGAAAACCAAGAGATGTTTCTATGCACTTATACCACATACTTTGTACTGTTTATTCTATTATTGAAAATATTATATTAATACTTTAAAAACAGAAATACTAAACTAGATTTTAATGCCGATTTGGGATGTCTTGGAAGTCTTGAGTGGATTCAAATCAAAGCAATTGTTTGATAAACATGACGTTTGCACAAAATTTACTTTAAATTTCTCGAAAAACTGTTTTTAAAATATTTTTTATGTAGAAATTGCCTTTAGTAAAAATATATAACACACACAGGAAATTTTACTCGTTTGCTCATCGTAATAAAAAACAATTTTCGTACCACGAATTAGGGACAATATTTTTATCTGTATACATATAGTATACCTAATCTGTGGTATAGGTTAGAATAATCAATTTGTTTCAGGAGAAGCATCACAACTACTCAGGAAACTAATAACTTGTAGAAAATTGGGTATGAGTATTACTCCAGCTACACCAAAGGTACTCAACTACTCCCTATTTGATGGCCAGCTTCCTTCATCAGAACCCAGTTTTTCTATTGAAAAGACAAAAACTTCTGGCAGGAGGAAACAGAGTTATCCTAGTAAAGCTAATAATGTAGAGGAGGTAAATATTAGCAGAGTAGTATCTTTAATGGAGCAAAAGCAAATTAATAAATGCCAAAAAAATTACAAATTTATATTACGGGTGCTATACTTGGTTTTTGGATAATTTTAATCAAATATATTATAAGACTATATTGCTAGTACCGCATTTACACAATGAGTGGAAATTGAAACCAAAGAAAAGAAATAGGAATATCAATCTTGCATAAGTTTATCCTTTTGGTTCAACAGGATTTTCCTGCGTACGTGCCAAATAAAACGATCTGATTCTACTTCATTGCTGAACGCTGTCACCTGCCCGCGCACTATTTTAAAATCTAAATATTAATAAGGTGTAATATATTATTTTTTTATTGGTAATAGCATTATTTCAACCTGTTATTTTAGATATTCATCATATCTATCTGTTTCTTGTTTTTGTTTAAATATGTCAGAGATTAAATTTAAATTTATAAGTAAAGGCGCGAACAGTAAGACGCTAACTTGCTTTACGTGGTAGATAGAAAAGTTAGAAAACTACTTCTATTGCTTAGTATGAAATAAATCAACTAATCGCGAAGCACTTCTCACGCTTGCGTAGTTCAAAGCTGTTGAACGAAAAGGACCGACTTCTGTGGATCTTATATAGCTCCATCTCGAAAATTTGGCTTCAATTTTTGTTCCTTACGAGCAATATAGTCTTATAATATGGTTGATTTTAATCCATTCGTTTCTTTCATTTAGATGGAGCAAGGAGAAGAAGAGAGTGACAATGCTCCTGATTTCACTGGCAGTACACCTTGGATCAACATGGCAGGAAATAAATTAAAAATCAGCGTAAGTATAGCTTCTCTTCAATACAGTAATAAGTATACAGGGTGTCCTACAATGAGCATTAGAAGTTTTTAGAGAACTACAATATCTAGATCGGAGATTTTTTGCACATCATTGTTTTACAATCAGATCTATTGATTAAAAATATTTTCATTATGGCGGCGCTTCCGGAAATACCGGAAGTTGACAACAACTTTCTTATTTTAAATGGCTACCCTTATTTTTTATTATACAGATTATTAACTGGACGGTTCCTTATTGGGGAACAGAATGGCAACACTGCCTACATTCCAAATGAGTACTAAGCTAAGCTGGCGACTCATCCCGTCGGCGTCGCGTCGTCTCGACGAGCGGGCCGAGGTTGCCATATTTCAACCATAAAGCTCTTGCCGCGAGTAATAAACAAATTAACAACCTGTATATTTAAGTTCTATATAAAATTTTATTAATTTTTGTATCAAACACTCTATACCTAACATTAACTGTTTTTGAGAAAAAAATTTAAAATTTGTAGAGGAAAAAACTGCCTGTCGAAAAATATTGTATAGCCTAAACGTCAAACTTAGTGATTACCATCACAGCCACTGTGACATAAAGAGAATTGGCCGTAGCTGTCATGGAATTCAGAGATTAAAAAATTATCATAAATAACAATTTTTTTCAAATGGAAACCTACTTTTTTTTATTTCGCTAGTGAAAAAGTTTTCTAATTCGTTACTTTTCGATTATACATGTTCCTATACCTAAAATAAATCGTTTTTAATTTATTTTAGATTTAGATTTAAAGCGTATATTTTTCTGGTATTTTTATATTTTTAACCAGTATGACTAAAATGTCAAGCGATGTAAAACTATATCGGACCATGTCGAATTGCCATTAGATTCCAGAGCCATTAGAGAAGCTAGATAAAATCAAGAAAAAATTACACTTTAAAACTAAATCTTAAGAAACTTAAAAACGATTTATTCTAGGTATAGGAACATATTCGCTTAGGTTAGGTTAGGTTTTCAAAAATCTTAAGAAGTATTCAGAATTTTTATATTATAGATTTTTATATGTAGGTATAAAGTTAAAGACAAAAGTTCTAGAGTTAGTTTTTAAATGTCTATTAGCGTGTAATAAATTTAAGTATACAGGGTCGGTCATAAAGTCGTGGCACATAAAAGTTTTATTTTTTAAATAGAACCCACTGTATATTACTGCATATTTCAATTCTTTCTTCAATTCTAAGCCAAAAACGAAATACACACAATGTACCTCAAATCAACCGTTTCCGAGTTATTGACTTTTGAAAATATCATTTAAACAATTTGATTTAATTAATTTCGATATGTTTAGTTTCATTTAAAGATGCCATTCTGCCAAAACTGTGATATTTAATAATACTTGACATTAGTTCTCAAGTTACCATTTATAGATGTGCCAATCTACAAAATTTGTAACAGGATAATTTTATGTGTTTGTGAATATACAGGGTCGCTTTTGTGTATGGAAACGGTCGATTATTAGTTAAAATATAGGAGGTACCGTAAAAAGTTAAATACAAAAGTTATAGAGTTTTTAAATGTCTATTAGCGTGTAATAAATTTAAGTATACAGGGTCGGTCATAAAGTCGTGGCACATAAAAGTTTTATTTTTTAAATAGAACCCACTGTATATTACTGCATATTTCAATTCTTCCTTCAATTCTAAGCCAAAAACGAAATACACACAATGTACCTCAAACCAACCGTTTCCCAGTTATTGACTTTTGAAAATATCACTTAAACAATTTGATTTAATTAATTTCGATATGTTCAGTTTCATTTAACGATGCCATTCTGCCAAAACTGTGATATTTAATAATACTTGACATTAGTTCTCAAGTTACCATTTATAGATGTGTCAATCTACAAAATTTGTAACAGGATAATTTTATGTGTTTGTGAATATACAGGGTCGCTTTTGTGTATGGAAACGGTCGATTATTAGTTAAAATATAGGAGGTACCGTAAAAAGTTAAATACAAAAGTTATAGAGTTTTTAAATGTCTATTAGCGTGTAATAAATTTAAGTATACAGGGTCGGTCATAAAGTCGTGGCACATAAAAGTTTTATTTTTTAAATAGAACCCACTGTATATTACTGCATATTTCAATTCTTTCTTCAATTCTAAGCCAAAAACGAAATACACACAATGTACCTCAAATCAACCGTTTCCGAGTTATTGACTTTTGAAAATATCATTTAAACAATTTGATTTAATTAATTTCGATATGTTTAGTTTCATTTAAAGATGCCATTCTGCCAAAACTGTGATATTTAATAATACTTGACATTAGTTCTCAAGTTACCATTTATAGATGTGTCAATCTACAAAATTTGTAGCAGGATAATTTTATGTGTTTGTGAATATACAGGGTCGCTTTTGTGTATGGAAACGGTCGATTATTAGCTAAAATATAGGAGCTACCGTAAAAAGTTAAAAACAAAAGTTATAGAGTTTTTAAATGTCTATTAGCGTGTAATAAATTTAAGTATACAGGGTCGGTCATAAAGTCGTGGTACATAAAAGTTTTATTTTTTAAATAGAACCCACTGTATATTACTGCATATTTCAATTCTTCCTTCAATTCTAAGCCAAAAACGAAATACACACAATGTACCTCAAACTAACCGTTTCTGAGTTATTGACTTTTGAAAATATCGCTTAAACAATTTGATTTAATTAATTTCGATATGTTCTTTTTCATTTAACGATGCTATTCTGCCAAAATTGTGATATTTAATAATATTTGACATTAGTTCTCAAGTTACCATTTATAGATGTGTCAATCTACAAAATTTGTAGCAGGATAATTTTATGTGTTTGTGAATATACAGGGTCGCTTTTGTGTATGGAAACGGTCGATTATTAGCTAAATTATAGGAGCTACCGTAAAAAGTTAAAAACAAAAGTTATAGAGTTTTTAAATGTCTATTAGCATGTAATAAATTTAAGTATACAGGGTCGGTCATAAAGTCGTGGCACATAAAAGTTTTATTTTTTAAATAGAACCCACTGTATATTACTGCATATTTCAATTCTTTCTTCAATTCTAAGCCAAAAACGAAATACACACAATGTACCTCAAACCAACCGTTTCCGAGTTATTGACTTTTGAAAATATCACTTAAACAATTTGATTTAATTAATTTCGATATGTTCAGTTTCATTTAGCGATGCCATTCTGCCAAAACTGTGATATTTAATAATACTTGACATTAGTTCTCAAGTTACCATTTATAGATGTGTCAATCTACAAAATTTGTAACAGGATAATTTTATGTGTTTGTGAATATACAGGGTCGCTTTTGTGTATGAAAACGGTCGATTATTAGTTAAAATATAGGAGGTACCGTAAAAAGTTAAAACACAAGTTATAGAGTTTTTAAATGTCTATTAGCGTGTAATAAATTTAAGTATACAGGGTCGGTCATAAAGTCGTGGCACAAAAAAGTTTTATTTTTTAAATAGAACCCACTGTATATTACTGCATATTTCAATTCTTCCTTCAATTCTAAGCAAAAATCGAAATACACACAATGTACCTCAAACCAACCATTTCCGAGTTATTGCACACAATGTACCTCAAACCAACCATTTCCGAGTTATTGACTTTTGAAAATATCACTTAAACAATTTGATTTAATTAATTTCGATATGTTCAGTTTCATTTAACGATGCCATTCTGCCAAAACTGTGATATTTAATAATACTTGACATTAGTTCTCAAGTTACCATTTATAGATGTGTCAATCTACAAAATTTGTAACAGGATAATTTTATGTGTTTGTGAATATACAGGGTCGCTTTTGTGTATGAAAACGGTCGATTATTAGTTAAAATATAGGAGGTACCGTAAAAAGTTAAAACACAAGTTATAGAGTTTTTAAATGTCTATTAGCGTGTAATAAATTTAAGTATACAGGGTCGGTCATAAAGTCGTGGCACATAAAAGTTTTATTTTTTAAATAGAACCCACTGTATATTACTGCATATTTCAATTCTTCCTTCAATTCTAAGCAAAAATCGAAATACACACAATGTACCTCAAACCAACCATTTCCGAGTTATTGCCTTTTGAAAATATCTCTTAAACAATTTGATTTAATTAATTTCGATATGTTCTTTTTCATTTAACGATGCTATTCTGCCAAAATTGTGACATTTAATAATATTTGACATTAGTTCTCAAGTTACCATTTATAGATGTGTCAATCTACAAAATTTGTAGCAGGATAATTTTATATGTTTGTGAATATACAGGGTCGCTTTTGTGTATGGAAACGGTCGATTATTAGCTAAAATATAGGAGCTACCGTAAAAAGTTAAAAACAAAAGTTATAGAGTTTTTAAATGTCTATTAGCGTGTAATAAATTTAAGTATACAGGGTCGGTCATAAAGTCGTGACTTTTGAAAATATCACTTAAACAATTTGATTTAATTAATTTCGATATGTTCAGTTTCATTTAACGATGCTATTCTGCCAAAATTGTGATATTTAATAATATTTGACATTAGTTCTCAAGTTACCATTTATAGATGTGTCAATCTACAAAATTTGTAGCAGGATAATTTTATGTGTTTGTGAATATACAGGGTCGCTTTTGTGTATGGAAACGGTCGATTATTAGTTAAAATATAGGAGGTACCGTAAAAAGTTAAATACAAAAGTTGTAGAGTTTTTAAATGTCTATTAGCATGTAATAAATTTAAGTATACAGGGTCGGTCATAAAGTCGTGGCACATAAAAGTTTTATTTTTTAAATAGAACCCACTGTATATTACTGTATATTTCAATTCTTCCTTCAATTCTAAGCCAAAAACGAAATACACACAATGTACCTCAAACCAACCGTTTCCGAGTTATTGACTTTTGAAAATATCACTTAAACAATTTGATTTAATTAATTTCGATATGTTCAGTTTCATTTAACGATGCCATTCTGCCAAAACTGTGATATTTAATAATACTTAACATTAGTTCTCAAGTTAGCATTTATAGATGTATAAAATGAGATTATATCAAATCTGGAAATTACAAAATTTTCGTTTAACATTTCAATTCTTCAATTTATGTACATTCTGTATTACGATTATTGCTTAAAATTGAAGGAAGAATTGCAATATGCAATAATATACAGGGCGTTTCATTTAAAACAAATAAAGTTTAATGTGTCACAACATTATGAGCGACCCTGTATACTTAAATTTACTAGTAGCTAACAGGCATTTAAAAACCCATTACAACAGTATCACAATTTCGGCAGAATCGCATCATTAAATGAAACTGAACATATCGAAATTAATTAATTGTTTAAGTGATATGTTCAAAAGTCAATAACTCGGAAACGGTTGGTTTGAGGTACATTGTGTGTATTTCGATTTTTGCTTAGAATTGAAGGAAAATTTTAAATATGCAATAATAATAATAATAATAATAAACTTTATTTCTAAATTACAATATAAAATTGTGATAGAATAATCAAAACAAATACAATAATAAGCCTTTTACCTATTCATCTATGTGAAAACGAAAAAATACTGATACAAACAATATCTTTCTTTTTTCTTCGTATGATTTTAACAATTTATTATACATTTTCCATAAAAAATTCATTGATGTTTTAATATACTTTTTCTAATAAAAAATTTTTCAACTTATTTCTAAAAACATTTATATTCTTACTTATTTTAAATTCAGTTGGTAAGCAATTAAACATTCTTAATCCTAAACTCTGTGGTGAATTTAACATTACATTAGTACGACATGGTATTTGATAAAATTTATGATTAGTTCTTGTATTGAAATTATGGACTTCAGAAATTAGTTTATATTTATGCTGGTGTTTATAAACAAATATACACAGCTCTTGAATAAAGATACTCGTCAAAGTTAGTAACTTAAATTCTCTAAATAAATCTCGACAAGTTTGCCTTGGAGAAACACGAGCAATACACCTAAGTTTTTTTTTGGACAGTGAAAACCTCCTTAATCCTAGTGGATGTTCCCCACAGTATTATGCCATAGCGTAATCTTGATTCGACGTATGCATAATATATATTTGTTAATTGTTGTTTAGATAGAGTCTGAGATTTCTAAAAAGGTATAATATACAGGGGGTTCTATTTAAAAAAATGGAACTTTGATGTGCCATGACTTTATGACCGGCCCTGTATACATAAATTTATTACTCGCCAATAGACATTTAAAAACTCTATAACTTTTGTATTTAACTTTTTGCGGTACCTTGTATATTTTTCCTAATAATCGACCGTTTCCATTAGTGATGGGCAAAACTGTGATTTTTAGATAACAGTTGAAACTGTTATAGTTATTTATAAAAAAACAGCTAAAATAACAGCTTAAAAATAACAGGTTTCTTTATTTTATTGCTAAATATCTGAAAGAGTATGAGGCGGTCACCGCCAGGCGTATCAACGCAGTTGCAAGTTGCAACAATGACGTGCTCGGTGGTAGTATTTCCAGGGTGTCAAAACATTTCTAAATATCGATTGTTATCTAAAATACCTCTCTAAAAACGGCGGTTGTTTACAAATAAGCGATGTTTACAAATTGCGATATAAAAAAATCCAAAATGCCGCAACTCGTCTATACCTATACATTGCGATCACCTACGCCCTGCCCCTCGATCCGCCTGAATTGCGTAGCAGTGTACAGGGTGCATCTCACTCGACGGGCGAGAAGCTTTTAGTTATGATTTTACCATTTGCGGTCAAGGAGACAAAGGAGAATTTCTACTTAAGTATTTATTCCGAAAATTTTTCAGATTAAATAAATACCTAAATATAAGAAATCTGTAAAATACATAATATTTTGTTGTTTAATAAATATATTTTTTAATAATTAGCTTACTTTCACTAAAATGTATCTTTTTTTCACTTATTATACCATTCTACAGACCTAGAATATTATAGTATTTAATAAAGTTATGTTTTTATGCATAATACATGATTTGTAAATAATAAATATGTTAATTAGAGTCTAACGTATGTTAATGTTAGTCAATTATAAATTAATAATTGAAATTAAAATTCCTTATAACTTTCAAAAAACTTCAGTCACACAGACGTAATGACTAAATAAATTTTAGTATGTTTGTTCCACCCCGTAACTGTGTAAACCAATATTTGTTCTTCACTTCTTGACAATTGCATTTGAGAGATGACCTAATTTATATTCTGTATTCTGTAAATTTGGTTACGGTCGTGGTGAACTTGTGTTTTTAATTTTTTGTTATTATAGTGCAATAATTAAAAATTGTTAAGTTAGTTTATTAGTATATATCATTATATATTACTTCTCATTATTATAATTTATAATAAATAAATTAATCACTAAATTAAGCACCATTCACAATTTCTTAAAGTAAATCTTAATAAAATTGCCTTTGAAGAGTTTTAAAATGTAGCAAAAACAATGAAAGTATATATTTAAAGATATTAATAAAAATAACCAAGTAACTCAAACTTAATAACTAAATACTGAAACATACAGCGCCATAATATCTCGACCTCCGCCCGTTATGCTCGTAACAGGTTGAAAAATAATGTATCTAAAACAACTGACGCGTTATTCTCCAACCTGTTTCGAACCTCCATCGACAATCGACCGATGCAGCAGTGTTACTTTCCCACTCCGATTATCTCGAGCGCCGTCTGTTATGCTCGTAACAGGTTAAAAAACAACGTATCTAAAATGACTGCTTATTTTCTATACGTTATTCTCCAACCTGTTGCGATCCTTCATCGACAATCGACCGATGCAGCAGCGTTCCTTTCCCACTCCTGTTATCTCGACCGCCAGGCTTTATGCCCGCAACTGTTTCAAAAAAGCTGCTTCTTTTATATCCTATTATTTTTAAGCTGTTGCAAGCCCAACACGACCATCGACGGTATCGACCGATGCAGCTACGTTCGCCGTAGTGCATTCCCCACTTCGTTGTCCGTTGTATCTCGCCGCCTGTATCGATGGTTGTCGAAATAACATGTTTTCCATCAATACTAGTTGTTTTTTGGAATTGCTTCGAGCAGCATAGAATTTCGGGGCGGTTTAGAGCGCCGACTTCGTTTCACGTGCGGTCGATCTCTACGTGTCGTTATTTTATATCTGTTATTTTTTAGAAGTAGTAACGGTTGCGTTATGTTATTTCTAAATAATTGTTATAAAATAACAGTTAAATAACAACCCATCACTAGTTTCCATATATAACAGCGACCTTGTATTTTTAATAAAAGTAACAATAATCAGAGATATGTTAATCACAGAATAACTCATCGGCTGCACCCTCCAAACGAATAGACGTCTGTTGTACTAACTGTAGGACGCAAACGACTACCATATGGAGACGAAACGTCAGGGGTGAAATGGTGTGCAACGCTTGTGGACTGTATTTTAAACTGCACGGCATAGACAGACCATTAACGATGAGACGAGATACCATACATACGAGAAGACGGAGACCTAAGGCACAGGAAATGAAGAATATGGAGGTTAAGAATAAAATGGGTAAGTACAGAAATACATAATTTTTTTGTTGAACTATTTATGTTGAATGCGTTTTATTTTATTTTTTATAGGTTTATATGGGTATTCGTTCCATAAAGGTGAGTTTATTAAATAACCAAATTTGCAGTCCATTAAGTTCACGTCGCATCATTATTTCGCATACTTTTTTAAGAAAATCAAGTATATTGAACCACTATACAGAGTGGCGCACCTCATTCGCCTCGGTTGATTATACGAAAACGGAAAGATGTAGAAACAAAATATTTTATGGGTATATGTGGGAAGACATTGTGCATAATTTAAAATTATTTTGAAATGTACATGGTATGTCAGAACTAAGATCCACATCAAAGTTATATTTTTTCTAATGGAACACCTGGTATTTTATTTCATATTTGGACCCTTCGACACAAAATAAGGCATTTATTATAAGGGTTAAATGTGTTTATATAATGGTTTTTGAGATATTTAAAGATATTCAAATGTGCATGCTATAATAAATTATAAAAAAAATTGACAACACCCCATTTAATATAAAACTTCGTTATTTCAAATACAACAGTCTGTATTTTTTAAACTAAATTCAAATGCTCTTTTAAACTATATTAGGGTTTCCTATACATCTACCTCAGATTTTGAATAAAGAGCAATTTTTCAATAAAATGGCAACCAAGAGGGCTGATGTCGTCATGGCAAGTTTCTAGTGACAGTAGCTACATATTTTCAAAATCAACATTCGTTTATGGACTTTATTTAAATTTATAGCAGTTTACTTTAATTTATCTACAATAGTTTAATAAATAATATTTATTAAATATGTATTTATTATCCTATCAAGAAAAACGAAGAAAGAAGTTTTTGATTTATTTTACGATAACTTGTAGATATATGGATTTTTGATAAAGAGCCAATCATGGCAAATTCATTTTCTTCACTTCCAAAGAGAGGTTTCTGCCTAATAGGTTTTTTTTATAGACCACACTACCAGCTCTGCGAAATAGGACAAGTGGTTTTTCATAGGAACGCTTATCAGGAAGATTCCTATTTGGATATCTTTGAACATAAGCCCTTCAGGCCAAGAAGCAATTTTCCTCACAAAATAAAATCACTAGTAACATATCCATTTGTTCCGCCAGCAGATACTGGTTTATTCTAAACTTCTGCAAAGTGAACTGTTATAAATGTCCATAACCTAATGTCGATTTTGAAAATAGTTACTGTCACTAAAAATTGCCATGGCGACACCAGCCATCTTGTTTGCCATTTTATTAAAAAAAAAACGCTTTTTATTCAAAATCTGAGCTAGATAGGTATAGGAAACCCTAATATAGTTTGAAAGAGCATTTAAATCTGCTTCGATTTATTTAAAAAAATACAAGGTATTGCCTTTGAAATAAGAAAGTTTTTATGTAAAGTAAATATTTAAAACAGATCAGCAATTTTTGGTACCCCTGTATAAATTTAAGGAAGCAATAAAATGTTTCAGTAAAGTTTATTACTCTACCTTTAAACTCGGCACAAAAATTAATTCTGAAAAGCAATGTACAGGGCAGTGGCGCATCTAGAGATTGATTCTGGAAGGGGTAGTGTCAGTATTTAAGTAAAGTACTAGCTTTAAATTAAATTTACTGTAATGTGCTGTGACTAGGAAAAACAATAACTTTGATGGGTCTGATTTTTTTATTTCAATTGGTTATTATTAATTTCTTTTGTGGCAATTTTATTTTAGACCACATTCTAGCTTACTTATAAATTTTTTTCTGGGAGGGGTAATTACCCCCATTATCCCTCCCGTATATGCGCCACTGGTACAGGGTGTGGACAATTTTTTTTTATAATTTATTATAGCATGCATCTTTAAATATCTTAAATATCTCAAAAACCTAAAATTTTAAACATATTTAACCCTTATAATAAATACCTTTTTTGAGGCCACAAGAATCCAAAAATTAAATAAAATACCGGGTGTTCTATAAGAAAAAATATAACTTTGGTATGGATCTTAGTTTTGAAACACCCTGTATATTTCAAAATAATTTTAAATTGTGCACATTGCCTCCCCACATATACCCATGAAATATTTTGTTTCTACATTTTTCCGTTTTCGTAAAATCAACCGTAAAATAAAAAAAAATTGCCGACTTATAATTTTATTATGTTTATCAAATTTTATTAAAAATTATTTTTTTTAAAGTTGTCCGAAATATGTCCAATAAATTGAGATTACTTTTTGTATATTTATGACAATTGGTACATAGATGTATCATCAAATTCTGAACCACTTTTCGACATTGTCGATATTTTGTCTTTTAACCCCACTTTTTGCACGTGTTAAATATTATGTATATTATACATGTATATTATACGTGTATGTATATTATACAGTCACTTACTAGTGAAAAGCTATTCTATTATTTCTCTCGATTTTTGACCGAGATCTACCGCACGCTACACCAACTATTTTACAGTGTTTTTCGATAAATCGCAATAGGTTCACTGTTAATTTCAGTTCTGTCACAAAAAACATTTCCTTCTAGATTTACTATCTCTAAAGCTGCGTCCTCACTGAGTCGACACTGTCGATCGACCCTGTCTATCGACGCTGTCGACTTGGTGTGTACGTGGCAATCGACAGAATTAATCGTGGCAATCGACAGAATTAATCGTGGGAATCGACAGAATTATACGGTGTCGATCGACAGAATTAATCGATCGACATGTCGATTTGTTTTCCATCGTCCGTCAGTAAACATCAAAGAACAGTCGATCGACATTAGTGTGTGGAGCTGTTTTCGACGTTCGACATTCGACAAACTGTTATACACAGTGACGTCTTGGCTAGTTGACATCCTAGTCGTGCTTTTTCGTTGAAGAAATGGAATGGCAGCAAGATAAAGTCATAGCCTTTATTGAGGCATACAAACTGAAAAGAATCTATGGGATTCTAAAACCAAAAACTATAAGAACAGAAACTTGAGGCACGATGCCCTTATGGAAATTGCTAATCAATTTAACATCGAGAAGCAAGCGGTAGGTAGAACAAAAAATAAAAAATCTTCAGTCAATTTGCAAGAGAAGTGAAAAAAATAAAGGAGAGCAAAAAATCTGGCACTGGTACGGAAGATGTGTATGCAAGTAAATGGATGGTTTTGAAAGTCAACCAAACCAAACTATTGCGTCATCTTCGTCAGACACGTTGATTTCGACTGATCGACAAACATTTCTGTCAATCTGGTGTGGACAGATGCAGTTTTGTCGACTTGTTGATCAACAATGTATAAAGGGACGCATGAGGACGCAGCTTAAGCAACTACCAGTTGTAGAATAAATAATAAATAACTGCTGATGATACAGCAATTTTCTTCAGATCAATATGTTGGAATCAATTGAAAGCAAAAGTAGAAAAATCAATGGAAATAGTGTGCAATTTCTTTAATAATAATCTTCTTACTGTTAACTTTAAGGAAACTTTCTTCTTGCCTTTTGCCTGCTATTCAGATACTCTTCCAAAATTCAATTTAGATTTAACTTATAACGATAAGCTAGTGACAATAAGCTCAACAAACAAATTTAAGTATCTTGGGGTAATATTTGATAACCACATGAAATGGAATTATCATATTCAGGTTGTGACTAAAAAGTTAAGATCACTTATTATAATATTTAAGTTTTTAAAAAGTATAATTCCTATAGAATTACTAAGAAATGTGTATTTTGCATTATCTCAGAGCCATTTACAGTACGGTATTGTGGCTTGGGGCTCAGCAAGCAAAAGTCAACTAACAAGTGTAAATATAGTTCAGAAATGGTTGCTGAAAATAATATACGATAAAAACTATAGATATCCCTCTGATGCCTTATACAAAGAAGCAGCCATTTTTGACGCTAAACCATTATTTTGGTTTAATACATTATCTATAACATTCAGCAATAGAAGAAAACATAATCTAATCCCACTTTCATACTCACTACGTCAACGCGAATTAACTATTAATGTACCTCGGATGCATAAAACTATCGGACAAAAAAGTCATTTATATGTAGAACCTAAAATATTTAATGTTTTACCTGAAGAAATTGTTAATTATCAAAACATTAATATTTTTAAAAAAAGATTAAAAGAATGGATACTTGGTAGAACAATAACCGAGATGCATACATTTATACTCAGCAAAATGTGAAATATGAAAAACCATTCACAATAAATATAATATTTGAAAAAAAAATGTAATCTTATATGCCTTAGAACTTGCAATCTACTGAATCTACCTTACGTCAATATCTGACCGCTCTGTAATGACCGCTCTGAATAACTTAGTTAAGATATAGTTTAAGAATTTAGAATAAAATATTGTAGTTATTATTGTAGAAATGAAACTCCTCAGACAAGGTTCTACCTTAAGAGGATATTATGTTTATTCACTATTTTGTATTCGTAAGTTATGTATAAGTCTTGTATATATTTTGTAATTGGATCAGTTTGAATAAACATTATTTATTATTATTATTTATAAGCTCAGGAAAGACCGACAAATCCACAAAATTTCAAATCAAATTCAAATGTGTGAAATGAATCGTCAAACAGAACTGTCAAGGATCGCCCCCAGGGCCCTACCTCCGTCAACCATGCATGGATACATGGATCACATTATTATACTCCGTACTTAGTCTTTTTATTTAGAGCTTAGAAATGAAGATAAAATTAAAAAGTGGGGTTTTTTTTATTTACCGCCATACAGTTTTGTCGCATAAGTCAAAATATGTTTTTTTTACGTAAATTCCGTACTGGATTGATTATGCAAAAATATTTTTGCGGTAACTCAAAATGTAATAAAATAAATTTCCACTTGTGAACTTTTTGGCACACCCACATTTTTTATAAAATCATTCTTATAAAATTTTTAATAAAATATAGAACCGAAACCGCGGACATATGGAGATCGATCAGTTCCCATGATTCCTACAACCATTTCAGACAATGCAGATACCCAGAATATGCTCAGCGCTTTAAGGAGACAGTTACAACCTCATTTGATGATGGCCTTATCTCAAGAAGCCGGTGGGCAAAGCACCTTATTGTCTCAGATAAATCAGGTGAGAAAAATTAGTTAAATATGTTATAAAGACGCTGGCTTATTATTGGTGAACCATTTTTTTCTTTAATAATGTATTTGCATGTTGTGTATTGCCCCCATTGTAATTATTGGCGTAAGCAGTTGCGAGTGTTGTTAAATTAAATAATTATGTAATATGGTCCAGTTTTAGATGGATTGTATTAAGCGTATTAAGTGAAGCAATAAGATGATAAACTTTTTCATATGGACAAAGAATATTATACGGGCTTAAATGAATAATAGTGAAAAAAATAAGGGTGTATTTTACATATTTTTTTAGTTGGCGTTACCCTGTAAAGTTGTTTACTTGTATAGGCTTGGTGCATTCTCCGCTGGTGCTGCCATTATCGGAGAATATCGTAAACAACTACTATATACAAATACACGGGCTTAAATAGCGAGTATACGAAAAATTTATTATACAGGGTGTCCCAGAAATGAGTGCATGTATTTTCTTAGATTGAAAGTAGTTCGTAAAGTGGCGATAAGAGACAATAGTTCTCAACATTTATTCATTCAGAAAGTTGTAATGAATAAATGTTGAGAAGAGAAGAATGTTGAAAGTTATTGTAATGTGCGCTTTTCAAGGTGTTTTGTAAAACAGTGGTTCAAATAAAACAGAGAAACATGAAAGAAAACAAACAAAACAAAAATGAATCGATTATTTGTTGGGCTGTTTTCTAAATTTCTTGAATTGAATTCTAAATTACGATAAACATTTTAGGAATTTCTTTTTGTGACCTGATTGTGAATAATATGAATCATTATATTAAATTTATTCCAAAATAAAGTTATTTTGCAGCATAACAAAGATTTTCGTAAACGTCATAAACGTAATGTTTTAGTTAATTTTCGGTGGTTTTTGTTAAGTTTTCATTGAAAGGGTAAGTACTAAAAATAATTAATGTGTTTTTTTTCTATAATTATTAATAATGAGCAGTGATAAAAGATAAATTTAACATTCCTAATTTTTTGAGTAGAAATTTGTCTATGAATTTATAAATGTAGAACTATGTTCCGCCGAACTATGTAGAATGTGGATAACATAGGAGGTTGCAACACTGCAAGGTTTAGATACACCGTAGGGAATTCTCAGGTGAATAAACAAGTGGCACTAAAAAGTTTTTTCAAATTTCCCGGAAAATGTCAAGAAATTTTTTAAATTTTCAACATTTTTTTTTCGCAAACCTCATAGGCGTGTTTCTGGGGTTGAACTATACTACCAGTTAAAATATTTGCACTTATTTCTGGGACACCCTGTATAGTTATAAAAATGTTAGAAAGTATAATTTGTAAAAATTCTAAAAATAAAAATAAAAAGTAAATATTTTGATGTCTTCACAAGGTCTAACTTGTATTATAATTTATTATTCCAGTTAAAAAAACTTCTTAGACGAGTTCAACTACGGTAGCGAGCATAGTTTTAATCATCGGTTTTGTTAGTGGGCTATTTCGGCTTGAACGAAATTTTTTAAAGGTACACAATTATAATTTTAGAAGATGTTCCTAAAACATTTAATCACTAGTTGATTAATAAAAGTATACCATTAATATTGCAAATTATATTTTATCCTCTCATAGTAGAATCCCAATTCAGTGCATATGATAGGATATGTCCTGCTCCAGGTGCGATAAAACGCTTTCGGCGGAAGAAGTTAAGACGAAAATAATGTGATTTCTGCAATGACGCCCATTGTATCCCATGCTCAGGACTATCCTCCTCGGAGACTCGGGTCACTCAACTGGCGAAAGGGCGTATTCCTTTATTCGCGTTCTCCCAATGTATAAGCATGGTGAAGATGAGAAGCCCCACAAGCACAAACAACCACATGGAACACGAGTTGGAAAAACTGCAGGTCCAACTCACGGCATCGGTCTTGTCATTAAAGGATGAAATCGCTAACGCTTACACCCAGAAGTTAGATGATCTGAAGGAAAATCTGACTAACAGATTGGAAGCATTTAAGGAGCTACTCAATACTCAGAAGGCCCATGCTATACAGCACTCCTTAACACCTAATGATGAGGGTAGGCTTTCTGAAAGGAGTGAATGTATTCCGGTGACTGCGGAGGCTGTTCGGGTCGCGGTGAGTGATGCACTTGGATCTCTCTACAGCTCCAAGCTTCGGGATCTCACGAAGCCTAATAAGGAGATTGGTTCTACGGGGGCCGTCCTCAGGGGATCTGGAAATGACGGATTGGAGGATTTTAGGGGAGAAGTAGGTAGGACGTGGCTATACATCGGGCGAGTAACCGAAAAATCCAATGAAGAGGCAGTTAAGAATTTTATAAAAAGGAAGATCAATATGAATGATAGTGACGTAGCACTCAAGGGACCAGGCGATTCTATAATTATAACAATTACTATAATGAAAACAATGCTCGAGGCTATAATTCATGGAGGAATAACAATTATCGATCATATGAACGCAGGCAGAACCAGCCAGGTAGAAATTTTCCAGGGAACCATCCAGAACAGGACCGATTATAAGTTCAAGGGGCCAGCTTCGAGTTTATTATCAGAATGTGAGGGGCATAAGAAGACTTTGGAAAGTTCTGTGGACATACTATGACATTATTGTTTTTGTAGAGACATGGCTAAACGATGACATTTTGGATAGTGAACTCGGCCTAAAAGACTATTTCATATTTAGATGTGATAGGAACCAGAGAACTAGTGCGTGTTCCAGAGGAGGTGGTGTGTTGATCGCAGTGAAACCAGGAATTTCAGCTAGTCGAATTGTGGGTCCTCCGGATATTGAATTGTGTATTTGTGGCATTGTCTAAGGGTGGCTCGGGGATTTTTATCAGTGTATATTTACCCCCTCAATCCACCATTGAACTCTATGAGGGGTACTGTAGTGCTGTGGAAAATATTATTGATAATCACTCATATCAGGATATTTTTTTGATGGGAGACTTCAACATCCCTAATGTAAATTGGATTAATGATGATCGAGGTACCCTGGCAGTGGGTAATGTTAACCCTCAGAGTCAAGTTTTGTCCAGTCTCTTTGCTTACCTTAATTTGTCGCAGTTTAATAGTATTCCAAATGTGTTGGGGGGTTACCTCGATCTGGTTCTCAGCAATGTTGAGACGGAGATAGTCTTAGCAGAGCTACCTCTACTTTCATTGGATAAGTATCATCCGGCTTTAACATTTGAATTTGGTATTTCACAGAAGCGTGGGGAGACCTTGAAGTTTGATTATGAATATTATGATTTCAAGAATGGGGATTTTGGAGCTATTAATGATTTCTTAGGCCTGTATGATTGGGAGAATTTGTTGAATTCTAATATTCTTGGGGAAAATATCTATTCATTTTACAGCATAGTTTATATGGCTTTTGATTTATATATCCCCATAAAAAAATAAAAAAAAAAACGCGTTGTATTGTTTTTTATAAAGTTTTTGTAGTTAGTTTTCACGTGTATTTTAAAAGTTGATTTTTACTACTGCATTTGAGAAATGAGGATTCTTTTGATTGTTGAGCAATGTTGTAAACTTTACCATAATCCCACTTTGGTGAGTTGCATTTTAATAGTTTTTTACAAGAATAGAAATTGTATTTAATTACTATAATTGTAGAAGAGTCCTGAAGAAGAGAACAAGTGAATTCTCGAAAGCTTGACTAAACAATAAAGGGTTTTTCCTTGAACTAACGGCCTTCTTATTAGACTGCATCCCCAAGACACCTGTTTGAATATTTTTCTCAACTAGTCAGTCGCGTAGACTACCCATCTCTTTATATATATATATATATATATATATATATATATATATATATATATATATATATATATATATATATATATATATATATATATATATATATATATATATATATATATATATATATAATATATATTTTTAGATTAAATAACAATTTATCTGCAGGGCCTGATATGATTCCTGTGATGTTTTTGAAAAAATGTTGTTTCATACTGTCTCACATTTATGTATTCTTTTTAAGCTATCTGTTGCCAAAGGGGAATGGACCAATGGAAAGTGTCATATGTAACACCAGTTTTCAAAAGTGGTAACCGATCTGAGATCACTAATTACAGAGAGATTTCTAGTAATTCCATACTTGCCAAAATCTTCGAATCAATTATTGATAGCAAAATCAAACCGGGATTTCAAAATATATTAACCGATTATCAGCATGGCTTTAGAAAAGGAAAATCTACAATTACAAATTTATTAGTAAACATCACTAGAGAAGAAACAACAAATCGATGCTATTTACACAGATTTTTCTAAAGCATTCGATAGAGTCAATCATAATCTGCTGGTGGAGAAATTGGAGAGGTATGGAATTTGTGGAAATCTTCTGTCATGGTTTAAAAGTTATTTAATGGAACGAAGACAAATTGTTAAAATTAATGGGTTCACTTCTAGGGAGGTTTTAGTCGAGTCCGGAGTTCCACAGGGGTCTCATTTATCTCCGCTGCTTTTCAATATATTTATTAATGATGTAACCGACTTTATTACACACTCTAAATTTTTGTTATACGCGGATGATCTCAAAATTTACAAGGTAATTCAGTCACTGGATGACTGCTTTAAGTTGCAACAGGATTTGAATGGATTGAGTGAATGGTGTAGGTTGAATGGGATGTCATTGAATATATCAAAGTGTAAAGTAATGCAGTTCTACAGAAAGAAAAATGTTTTATTTTGTGATTATAAGATTCAAGATGATATTTTAGATAAAACTGATGTGATGAAAGATCTAGGTGTATACTTTGTTAAGGATCTGAATTTTAATTATCATATTAACTTCATGACAAACAAAGCGTTAAAGATGTTGGGTTTTATTAAAAGAACGTTAACTGATTTTAATGACATAAACTGTATCAAAACTTTATATATTGCCTATGTGAGATCGATACTAGAATATGCTTGCCCAGTCTGGGGTCCATATTATAAGATCTATGTGGAGCAGATCGAACGTATACAGAGAAAATTCTTGAGGTTTGTGTTATTTTTCATTTAATTTTTACTACACAAAGCACGTTACATTACACAAACTTTGTACCTGGAATTTTATAGTTTCAATAACTGTACTAGTAAAAACTAAGATATTTAAATATAATAAAATACAGAGCTGGAAAGTTCTTATTTCTTCCGTACCGAGCGCTGCTCTCGAAATTTTAAAGATTGACTGAAATGCACTAAGCCTATAGAAACATGTTGCTTTATATGTTGTTATTTGTAATACACTATTTATTTCGCTGTTGTAAGACCAAAGGTCCAATATGTCCAACCTCAAACTCAAAACTAGGGAATGCAATCCCGCACCAAAATCTCAATCCCGCAAACCCGCGGGATTAAAGCAATCCATCCCGCGGATCCGCAAAATTGCGGGACTGTAAACAATAGTCATACATTTGGTCTTAAATGGTACAAAAGGCATTGTACATTTTGCATAGGCCCATAATATATTGATATAGCGTGTATCTTAAACTAGCTGTACAGAAATTTGGACCGATGTATACAGAGTGTTCAAAAAATATATTTAATATTAAATAAACTTAAATTTTATTATAATTTATCTACTTTTTTATAAATAAAAATGTTATTCTGATGTTGAAGTTTTTTTTAACTTGTGTTAGTTATCTGCTTTTAGATACACTCTATATGAATAATTTTTTGGCATATGCAGAATGTACAAAGCTTTTTATACCATTTAGGACCATACATATGACTAAAAATGCATATTTTTCGAAAAAAAACGTCGTATTTTCCTTAAAACAAAAAAATTAAAAAACCGATCAAATTGTTTTTTCTAATTTCAATACAGATTAGTCGTACTTGGTAAAAATTTCGATTTTTTAAAAATTGCAAATTTGCGGTAAAAAAGATTCTTGACCAAATTTTCACACTCTTATAAAACACCCCATATACGAGAATTCATTAAATATATTTTCGAAAACCACATAGCATCTTAATCACAATAGATGCATCAAAAACCTGGTCCAAACCGCATCCAAAATATTTTTTACTTCAAGAGATATTCAACTTTAAATTTACCCTAAAATATTGCTTGTCTCGATAATTATGTCCTGCGGTTTATTTGACGAAATTGTCCACAAGTACTAGTTAGACGCCAGAAAGAAATCTAACAACTAATCTGTTTGTTTCACTTATTTCTAATGGCCAAGCCGTAAGGGGAATCCCCCGGGTTCCGGGCGTCGACGCATCGGCCCGGAACGTAGCGGTTTGATCTTGATTGAGATCGATTCGGTTAGCCAGTAGTAATGTGTCGATCCCGCGGAATCTTAGAGACATCCCTCATTTGCGGGATTGCATTCCCTACTCAAAACTGTTGTAGCTTTTAGCTTGTTAGATATTTTTTTTCGACTATACTGTAATATTTTCTTTTTATATTAGGGTTTAAGCCAACCAAACTTCTTGCCAGCTAGCAAAGATTCTCCATGCGGCTCCGCACCAGAAATGGAGTCTGACGAGGAAAGTATAGGAGACCTACCCCTCAATCTTGTGTCTACCCATATGGCCGAAACGGAGACTCATTAGTTTCGCTCGTTTCTATACCGAATTAAATTTCAACGGCACTAATCTGTATTTAAGTTAAATTTCTAGGCCTATCTCCTAAAAATTCGGTAGGTAGGTCCAATTCTCTACCAGTGATACATTTTTTACGACGTAAAGATAGATGTTTTAGTATACTTGAGCTTAGTTTATCGGTATAAACTTGTTTAAATATTTAAATTTAACTAGACAGGTTTACCATTGCCACGATTCGTCGATAAACTAAGCTTGGACAAGCAGAAATGACATTGCTTTCAAATATTGATTTGAATGAACAAAATTTGCAGAAAATACTCTTAAGCTCTCTTTTTTACGAACGAAAAAGATATTTTATATTGTACTTACAATGTTAATAATACTCATTGTTTTATAATATTTATGAATTTATTTTAGGACGTCTATTTTACTTTTATTTTATGTTTTTTCCCTCGGTTGTTTATTTTAAAAGAAAAAAAAACTTGCCGTTAAAAATATTTTTTTATTTCTATTCAGTGTGATATTTCCAGAAACCGTATTATTTCGTACCAATCCCACGACATCCAAATAGTAGTTAAATAAAACCAAACTTTTTCTTTATGCCAGTACCTTAATTTTAGTAGTATTTAAAGATATTTTTCTTAGAAATTTACCTTATTAAGAATCTCGTTTTTAATTTTTCCGTATTTTTAACAGTATTTTTTATCAACTTCGAAAAATACAGATAAGTTTTTGAAAGATTTAGTTATATTTTAATTAAAAAAGCTAAATATTACATTTTGGACACTCCTGTATGATATTTACTTATTTATTTTTTTAAATTATTAACGCTAAGCTCTCTTATCTGTCGCCCTCGTTCAAAGTTTAAAGTGTTTTTTATTATATGCAAGTTTAATTTAATAAAAACAAAAATTAACATTTGATTTAAGCTTTATTAGAGGTCGATAGTGATTAATTATTTGGCATTTTATACCAGTGTGTGATTGTTTTAACCAATATTTATTGTAAATATTTTTGTTTTGCAATAATTTTGTACACCAGTTATTATTAGTTTTTTAGTATTTTTTACTTAAGGTTTTATTTGCGATCTTTTATCAATTAACGCTTTTTATGAGATTTGTTTTTAGCATTTTTGCAATAACTTTGCTCCAAGCAGGAAAATTTTGGTTTTACTTCTAGTATTATATTTTCATGAACTACTTCATGTAAATTTTTCAAATTCAGGTGATGCTTTGATTTTAACTTGTATTTTTAATGGTATTACACGGAGCAAAGAAAAACTAATGTAGCGTACCTATTAGTATTAACCAGTGAGTGATATTTCTTTATTTTTAACACATTGACTTAAATTTTTTTTATCTAACTTATTTTCCTTTTTAACGTATGGTTGCCAATCAAAATTTTATTGGAAATATTCATTTTTTTGTTGGGTGATTAATGAGAATTTTCCATTCAACAAGTTTTTGGTCTCAAAGAAATTCTTGTGTACAAAATATTTAGAAACTGAAAAAAATATTAATTCATTTGATTGACAATCTCTACATATAATAAAATCAGTATTTTATACATTTTTTTTATTGTTAATATCTAGCATTAAGCTAAAGAAATTGCCTTAGTTGTTAAGTTTAATATTATTATGTTGGCAGCTATGCCTCAGATTTGCAATACCAATTTTTGCCAGTTATTAGATAATAAAGATTTCTTGTTAGTAGCGGTATTTTGGAAAGTAGAATTTTGTACTTTCAATTTCCAAAATACTCTTACTAATGATATTGTAAAAATTGACTTATGTAAAAGTTGTGATATATTGTTGAGATAAACGAAGATGCGTTTTTTACTTAAGTTTTCGAGAATTTTAGAAGGTCATCTTTTTTTTAATACTTAAAAGAGGGGTTTTGTATTTTATATTTACCAGGATATATATACTTAAGGTTGGCTAAACTAGAAGTTAGGATATTTTTTTACCAATAAAAACATGGCTGCAAACAAACCAATGTTTTATTTGTACCTCTCTTTAAAGTGTAAAATGCATACCTATAGTATATTTAACAAAACTTTGGTTGCTCATCATAATACGACCACCAGCAAACTCCATAAGACGACGCATTAGCATTGATGACGTGCAGCCAAAATTTTGTTAAATATACTGTTACGGATTCCGTGGGTCCACTATTTACACTTACGATAAAATACTTAACGAATTTATTTGTCTCACTCTGTACACACAACTTATACTATTTACAACACAATTTATGCAACTACTATTACTCTAACGGTATTTCGCGGTATTATCAAACTTCAGACTTCAGACTATCTTCAGACTGGTCCAATTGTCAAAGCGCGGGCCTTATATACCCCCTGGCGATGGTTTCTGGAATTTTCTAAAGAATTCTGTAATTTTCTTTTACTTTCTGGCGAATTCGCCAGGTTCCTCAATGCACGTTGCGATTATGTAGCAGTAATGCAGTTATGCAACCAGTAATACACCTTGACCTTAATACTATAATCCAGTAATCCGGTATTTGACCATTTTTTAATGTTATGAATAATCATTAAATATATGATTTTGTAAACATTCTACTTTGTACCATACATTTATATTATTTTTTTAGTGAAAAAACACAAGGTGTCCCAATATTCCGTGGACATAGAACTACTGCTACTACGTATTTTTGGAATCATAATAAATTTATTGGACACAACTTACTAGAGATGAGCAAAACTACGATTCTCCAGTCGCAATTGAAACTGCGATAGCGATTTTAATATTTAAATATTGTACTAGGTATATAATTGTCTGTGTATGTATCTATAGCTTAATAGGTCAAAAGAGTTAATAATAATCAGTAGTTAAGTTTTTAAGTTTTTTTTAACATCTGGGGGCAACACATTATAGGTATTAAAACTTTATATATGCTGCAACTGCTGTAACTACACATACCTCTACTCTTTTTACAGTTCTCAATTATATAATTCTTTACCCAATTCTTAAAAAATCTAAAAATATTTGAAATTTAAAAGAAAACAATGCTTATTCTAACTATGTCAAGCAGCCACCCTCGTTACATTTGAAAAAATTGAGATATGATTAAAAATACGATTTGGGCATCTTTTAACTGGCTAGGAGTAGACAAGAAAAACAAACAGACGATCAAATCCAAGGCATCTTGATTGAAAATTACTGTCTTTAACACCGCCATGGCATTCTAGATTGAAATTTAAAATCGATTTTTTAAGCGAAAATGTAAAAATTCTATTCAGAGGGTCATTTTCTCTCAAATAAAATAAAAATATATCGAGGTGCCATTTAAAAATCAAAAGTTGTAGTCATTTCCGGTGAAACAGGAAGTGGCCAAAAACAATTGAATCCTAATTTATGTCATATATATAGTGATGGGAAAAACCGATTAATTTCAATAATCGAGTACTCGAGTATCAAGCGATTGCAATAATCGAGCGACCGCTCGAGCGAAATATCGCTCGCATTTAAAAATACGGTTTTTCGACCGTCGCTTGTTGTAAGTACTCGTTAACGCCAAGCGCCAAGCAGTAAGTTGCGTGCGGAGGGCACATATTCTTTCGGTGATGAATGGCAAGCAGCAAGAGATTCGCTTGATCTAGTTTAGTTCACAGATCACATACAAAAGTTTATTTCAAAGCATTGTCGATGTAGGTCGTAAAATTTTGTCCTTCAGATACGCAACGGATAACGTCGTATAAATTTGCTACCTGCAATGTATGTAGAAAATTCGCTCGGCTTTTTATCGAGTATGTCACATTAAAATCGGATTTCAATTTATTTCATTGTAGGATCGCATACCTGGGGCACATAATGCGAAACCCCAAATATCAATTCTTGCATCTGTTAATCGAAGGCCGCAGGGGTATCGGAAGGAAGAAAATGTCTTGGCTGAGGAATGTTAGACAGTGGACAGGCCTACACGATGTACAGTCGTTAATAAACACCGCCAGGAATAGAGAAGCGATGGAAAATGTTATCGCAAACATCCATTAATGGATTCGCACTAGAAGGATCTCTTGCGTTCGTCGCTCGTAACTCGTCACTTGCATCGCTCATAATCGAGTGATGTCGGTTATTTCAATAATCGAGTACTCGAGCGAATTTTCGCTTGAGTTATCCCATCACTAAATTACTAACATACCAAATCTAGTTTTTTTTTATCAGAAAAAATAAAAAAATTATAGGAGTGAAACATTTAGAAACACCCGGTATATTATGATCGTGGCCCTAGAAAATAATACCTCCTCTATAATTATTAAATAATATCAGAGAGAAAATTCAATCGCACTTTACTATAAAATGCTTCAATAGACCACAAAATTACATTCACAACAATATCGCAAATCGCAACTCCTAAAAATTCAAACTCGCAGATATAAGGTTATCACGGTCCTAGTTTACAAAATCACAATCGCAGCAAAATCGCAAATCGCAAATCGCAACTATAGTAATATTGGTTGCCTAAATTGAAACTCGCAAATAGAAGTAATTTCAATCCCAATTTCCTATGAGAGTCAATCGCAGGTTGCGAATGCGATTTTAAAATCGCTGCTATTGAATCGCAGTTGGCGATTTTTTGCTCATCTCTACAATTTACCTCTATACAAAAGTGCTTCGTTTGTCCGCTAGAGAGCATCAAACTTAAAAAAAAAAGATCTTCAGATATTTTAAGAACCTTTATTTTGATTTGAATGAGATTTTCGGTGACTATGTTTTGCCAAGTGCTTTAACATCTGACTTTCTCAAGAATCAAAAAAAGGGTAAAAACTACCCCCACCTCTACATAAATTTTAGTGTAAATATTTTCCAACTCCACCGACGACGACTGATTTTCTTTTCGTAAAATGGTCCCACTTGTATTTGCTGCATTTTTAATCTCTTGTAAAAAAACGCCACATCGCGATAGTTTCTCAGAAAAACATTTATGGAAAATTTATTTTTTCAAAGCAGAACTACAAAATATACAGGGAGTTCCAATATTCCGTGGACATAGAAGAACTACATGTTCTTTGAATTAACATAAGTTAATTGCACATAATTTACCTGTATACAAAAGTGCTTCATTTGTCCATTAGAGGGCATTAATAAAAAATAAATCCGAACGTTAATTAATTATATATTATTATACAGGGTCGCTTTTATAATGGAAACGGTCGATTAGTAGGTAAAATATACAAGGTACCGCAAAAAGTTAAATACAAAAATTATAGGGTTATTAAATGTCTATATACAGAAAACTCCACAGACTTCGAGACATAGGAAAATCAAGTCCATTTAGCGTGTGTCCAAATTTTGACAAGTTTTCAAAAATGACAGTTTTGTTTAGACTGACGTTTAATTTTGAACGCCACTGCCTTAAAACCGACTGATTAAAAGTTGTCTCTTGATATTTTATCGATATCGGCCTCCTTGATGAGATAAACGTAATTTTATTGATCACAATTAATAAAATTAATACAAAAATAAAATTAATAAATTATATATTTTACCTAATTGATTATTAAGTATTATTACAATTAAGTTAATATTATTTAGTTATTAGTTAACTATGCATTTCCATACCCATGTTTATAGGAAATTTTTTTCATATTTTTTGATGAGGAATCAGTGAGTACTTATTTAAAACTTTGCAAGTTAATGATATTAAAGTTTTTTAAAGGTTGCTATTAGACTTGATCAAGGCAATTTAATAAGATTACGTTTATCTCATCAAGGAGGCTGAAATCGACAAAATATCAAGAGACAACTTTTAATCGGCATTAAATTGTTTACACTATTTCGCTAACAAGCGAAAAAAAAGTCAGTGGCGTACATGCTTTTTTTAAATAAATATTCCATTGATAACCCATATGCACGTCCATGTCGTCCATATGTCGACATTTTTTTAGCTTTAAAATATGTCGCATTTATAGTAACTTTTACCCTCAAAATTTCATTCTAAACGCTAAAAGTACTTGGAAGAAAATTATAATAAATTGAAAAAATATTAAAACTTTAATACCCTGTAGCTACGAAACAAAGTAGAATCAGACCTATGTTGATACGAAAAATGAATCTTATTTTTACATGAGGAATCTCCCCACGAGAGATGGCACTTGTTTTTTGAAATACCCTGTATAAATTCTAACTTGAGAACTATAATGTCAAATATTATTCAGTATCACGGTTTCGGCAAAATGGCATCGTTAAATGAAACTGAACCTATCAAAATTAATTAAATCAAATTGTTTAAGTGATATGTTCAAAAGTCAATAACTCGGAAATGGTTGGTTTGAGGTACATTGTGTGTATTTCGATTTTTGCTTAGAATGGAAGGAAGAATTGAAATATGCAGTAATATACAGGGGATTCTATTAAAAAAATGAAACTTTTATGTGCCACGACTTTATGACCGACCCTGTATACTTAAATTTATTACTCGCTAATAGATATTTAAAAATCCTATAACTTCTGTATTTGACTTTTTGCGGTATCTTTTATATTTTACCTAATAATCGACCGTTTCCATACATAAAAGCGACCCTGTATATCATAATACTTTTATGAAGCTTATTATCAAATATGATTTGTACTAATATAATTCCATATTTTCGCCAACTAGATTATTAGAGCATAATAGATTTTATGGGCTTCTATAGCCTTGATGTGACAAAATACATTTTTTGGAAATCAGCTTCGGAAAAATATTTTTCTTGCTTTATTAAAGATATTCTTATTAAAGTTATTAAAGAGATATCTTGATTACGTGAATTGAACTTTACCATAAAAATCAATAAGTTTAAATATAGTAAAACACTGATTAAGACGAAAGACTATTCAGTTTATTATTTGAAACATATGTAATTTTACAATATGTACGACTATAAGTAATATAATTGAAACAATTAGTGGTATTTGTAATTTCTGTGGGAAGCTGCAAACATAAAAAAATATTAATAATTGGAATAAAATTATATAAGAGCAACTCACAAATTCTTCCGTAATTAAGGACATAAAAAACACCCATGGATCCAAAAACAAGTTGTAAGAATGGAGCTATTCCGGAACGTTTAGGTAGGACATATTTGTGTTGCCATCTCCAGAATGCTAAATAATTTAACAATTCAGAATAAAATAATAGAGCCTGTTACATTGAATAATAACAAAGGGTTGCTGCACTAATTTTACACCGACAAATACTGCAATCTAATACATAGCATTTGTTGACTAATAGTTGGGGGGCAATCAGGCAAAACGCGATATCCATTTTATAAAGTTTAGAGGTATGGAAAAAAAACGTGTCGCTAGTGCATCCTTTACTTCAAGAAAATTATAGGTAGTGTACGTGAAAGATATGATGATACAGACCTTGCAGATAAGGATTTATCTCTTTTTGCCTGAGTTAAGAATAAACATTTATTTTTTTATAATGTATTTTTTATACACTCAGATGCAAAAAAAACGCAACAGATAATTTTCTGGTCAAATTTAAAGTGTTATATTTTTGTTATTCGTAGCCCTATTTGCATGAATTTTTTAGCAAGCTGTATATAATTATATCAACTTTAATTCGTAAATTCAGTTTTTTATAAACTTTAGTATTTCGCATATTATACAGGGTTAATCGTGGGTTTTTTTTATACTAACTTTAAAACACCCTGTGCAATAATTTCGTGTGTAAATTTTCCAAAAATATAATTTTACGGTCAGAACGTCACAACCATATCTCCTGAGTATTTTGTTGTTTGGATTATGTCAATACATGTCTTGGTTATTTTTTAAGAGCGAAATTAACTTGCCACCAACAATTTGCAATTTTTTTAATTATCATTTCTTTTTGAATTTATTTTTCAATATGACACGGATGTTTTGGTGATTATTGTAAACTATATACCACTATAAACTGCCCATCATGTTCGACGTTTGGGAAATCCTTGACAGGAGGGTTAGAGGTCACGAAGCGGTACCAGCTTCATTAAATAGACTTTGCTTGGTCCTTAAAGAATGAGAAAACATAACGCAATATGATATATGCAATCTCAATGACAGTATGAACGGCCCTATAGAGCCAGTTACAGCAGCCAAGGGAGGCAATAAAAAGTATTAGGGTAGTTTTTAAATTTTTTTCTGTTTGTATGATGATGATGATGTTTTCTTTAATATCGTTAGTTCTGTTATTGCTATTAATGTTTATTAAAACCCAGACTGTATCGTTAGTCTTTAACGTTTTTTTTTAATTTAGTATAGAGTATCCAATGCAGCGTATTATGACGTTATAATAGTCACCAAAACTATCTCGTCATATTAAAAAATTACATCAAAATGTAACGATAATTGAAAAAATTGCAAATTGATCGTGATCAGTTCATTTCGCTCTTAAAAATTAACCAAGGCATGTATTGACCTGATTCAAAAAACAAAATGCTCAGAAGACATGGTTCTGACCGTAAAATTATATTTTAGGAAAATTTACACACGAAATTATTGCACAGGGTGTTTTAAAGTTAGGGTAAAAAAACAACCCCTCGAATAACCCTGTATAATAGGCCAAATACTAAAGTTTATAAAAAAATGAGTTTACGAATTAAAGTTGATATTATTCTATACAATTTACTAAAAAAAATATTAAAATGGGGCTAAAAATAACAAAAATATAACACTTTAAATTTGACCAAAATTTCTCCGTTGCGTTTTTTGTGCATTTGAGTGTATAAATATAGGTATAATAGAAAATATTTTACAATTGGGCTGCATTTTATAATTTGATTTATTATTAGAAAAAAATCGTCAAATTTGTTAACTGCAACACTTCTCAGGAATTTTAAATTGTTTGTTAAAATACTGGGTAGATATGTAGATACTTCAAAAAAGTGGGGCGGATAAAACATGCTTTTTAAAATTAAACGCCCTATTTTATATTTTTAGATTCTGTGTAAAATTATGTAACTATTTTGTGAATAATATTTATTCCCAAAAACCAGCACTTTTTTAAAATATTGGTTTTAATTTTTTTCATTTCATGGTAAAATTTTATTTTGTTAAATTGTAAAAAAATCGTTAATATACGTAGCTATTGTTTCTTTAGATTTAAATAACATGTTATGTCCACAACACATTTTTGAAACACACTGTATACTAAAGCAATTAACTCCGCTTGATATAAGGTTTGACAGCCTTGCAATCGTGCAGAAGAATTTTTAAAGAAAAAAAGATATTCACCAGATTTAGGTTGACAGACCAAGTCTGTCACAGACCAAATTTGCAGACTTGACCTGTGAGATAAAGAATAAAGACTTATGACGCTCTTTCTTTCCAAGTGGTCAGTTTATATTCCGATAAACATTTATCTTTATAAAAATTGCTATAAAAGGCCGAATTTTGACCCAAACAAGAATATTTAATCGGACAAAGATCTAATTGGCAGACAAGTCTGCAGACCAAAATATGAGAGTTTTAGTAAGTGACAGGCTAAGTCCGCAGGCCAAATCCGTAAACAAATCTTCAAATGTATGAGGGCTAATAAGTTTAACGAATTTTGTTGTCAGTTCCGCAAATGTCTCTATTCTTACCTCGACTGAATGCACCAGCCACTGCCTGTGGACTCTTATTACGGCGAGCAAGCCATGATCCGAGTTCCGATAGCTTTACTTGACTAAGGGGGGTGTCGGCTAAAAAATATTGTTAAGTCTCAAATTATTATTTCAAAATGATAATCTTTGAAATTGAATATTATGTAATACATTATATCACGTAGATCTTCTCTTACGTTTTCCATAATATCTAGCTGGATCATATGGTCCGTGCACACTAGGATTATAGTCGGCAGGATAATCACCAAGACCCATTTTACAAAGCCTTTTTATTTGTTAAAAAATTAAATTTACTTTTTTGGACTATCGGAACGAGGACTGAGGACTAGAAAATGGCAAATAATGACACCATAAATGACACTTTAATGTCAATGTCAAATTATTTTAAATTAAAAAACCAGGTGGATGACACTTCTTATGGGAGAACTGGAAATGGTTGAAAACTTGACTACAAGCGATTTTCTAGGAATCTTCTTTACCGATAAATTATTGACAAGAGTGACAGATAAAACCTTGACATTCTTTCAGTATAACTGTTCAGCTCTTTTTCTTTCTAAAGTGTGCGTTGAAAGGAGACAAAAACAATTTTTTGCAACCCATAAATTGTTATTCGAACACCACTTTTCTCCTTGTCGGGTCGTTGACGTTGACTTGTCGCCATTTTATTTCTTTTGTTTACACGCTGCAGTTTGCTTTGTAAATTGAATACATAAATTATTTAGGCAAATATAGGTTTTTGATAAAACTCCTTGGACTAACGTGTAGGTAAGTGTTGATAAATAAGTTTTTTTTCATCTTAACATGCTCATTGTCATTCTCCTGATTTAGGTGACAGAAAAGGATCATCAAATGAAATTGAATTTTATATTTTTTCATCCCAGGACCGATAATAAAATATATATTTTATGGATACCTTCCTAAATATCAACGAGATGAGCCATCGGAAGAAAGGGACCATAGTACAAAACAGAAAGGTGATCTTTTTTCTTTCCACTTAGGATATTGAAATTATTATATACTGTAGTCGTGTTTGGCATTATGCTCTTAGAAATATAGGTAAACAAAGAAGAACAGATATAAAGCATCCCAGAGGAAAAGAGAGGCAATACCTGTACTCTCTCTCTGATATTTGTGAAAGTTACGGCAAAGTATTGTTGTAAATGTCATCTTTTTAATCGACCTGAAAACTTCGAGCAAAAAGATGACACTTTCAACAAAACCCTGACAGATATCAGAGACGATACAGGTTTTTCCTCTCTTTTTCCCTGGAATACTTTTAATTTATTATTCTTTGTTTATCTAGATTTCTCAGAGCACTATGAACGAACTCAGCTTGTATGTTTGAAATAATCGTCCAGTTGGCTTCAAAATGATGATCGATGACATTTCCTATATAATTTTACTTTCAAAATTATGATATATATCGTCATTTCTAAGCCATCTATGACGCCATTTTTTTCAGTTTTGTTATAATTAATTTTGTCTCTTGATCTACTTGTAACATTATTTTTTAATTTTATTAATTTATTGTGGTGAAATTAATTTCTGTTGTATATTTGATATTGATATTAAACATATTTTTAAAAAATGGTGTATTTTTTGTGTTTTTATCTATGTCATATTAAAAATAAATGAAGAATTAAAATTTTTTATTTTTTTAAACTTCCCGCCATGCGTGACAATCTAGTCCGTAGTTCCTACAAGCGATATTGGGGGCGCTAGTAGCAGTAGACTTGTCAACAGTGTCAAATTTAAACGTCAATTTCACTTTCCAATATTTAGCAAGGCGCTCGCACTTCTCCTTGTGTATGTGTTTTGTGTAAAAAACAGTATGTATTTATTCAGTGGCTAAGGAGTTTTTGATAGGGATGAGCAACGGAGGGATTAAAAAGCTTTTAGGCCTTCATACGTAGATCGTTTATAGGAGCCAGGGAAGAACCGATGAGCGTATAAAAAATTCAATCTAATATTTTTTTATGTGTAATAAATGTATTGGAACAATGTACTGAATCCTGAGTTTTGAGCTAGTTTCGTGGAAAATAGAAGAAGTAGACAACCCAAAAAACACACGTATTGAAGCCGTTGAAAGCTGAAATCTGCTGGAATATTGGCTGGAATGGCTGGAATCCAGATGGAATCCTTAAAAAAAAGATTAGTTGAATCATATGGTTGAATCCCGTATTCAAGGATTCAATGTAACTATAAGTATATCTGGTTGAATCTGGGTGGAATAGATGAGATGTTTGCAATCAGACCTGCAAGCTCACAGAAAACTTACCTCTTTTTTTTTATTTAAATTATTTTGAATAATGACTTAAGTCTAAGGTCTAAGTCATGGGATTTTAAGTCATTTTTCAAAAGCTGACTAAAGACTTCAAATTTAAGTGCATAATAATTTTCAAAATAATTTGTGATTTAATTTTTTATTCGGAAATAGAAAAAGAATTAAGTCATTAAAAAAGATTTTTTAGAAAAGATTTAAGTGATTAAAATATTTAAGTCTCATCTCTCTAAGACTTAAGTCATATTTTTATAATATATACACTCTATTTAAAAAATTCCCTGACAAGCATTATTACTATTAGATAATGTCATGTATGCGTACATGTATGTAAGTAAAATATATTGTATTGTAATGTGTGTGTATTTGTAACATTTAATGTTAATGATTGTAATTCATAAAAAAAATATTTTTTTGGGATTAGAAAAAAATAAAACACAGTATAGCATTTTTAATTTATTCAACGATATGTACCCATTATGTTTAAATTATTTTGATGTTTCTCTATATATGTGTTCCTTTTATAATCAGAGTATAAAAGCTTGTAACAATGGAGTTTTCAATGCCTTTATACCTTAAAACAGGTTTCTTTCTTTAATAATAATTTGTTTGCTATTTAATATACAGAGATTTTTACATAGGCGATCTAATTCAAATAAAAATCTTTAAATATGTCGAAAATTTAGAGCATAAGAGAAAATTATTCTATGATTTTTTATGCAAATTAGATATTTTATTCTAAACTGATGCCGTGATTAAAAAAAAGCATAATGATTTTTTAATTATCATTAGTAACTAACTCGATAAAAAATCTATAAAAGCTTATTAAAATATATTTACGAAAGTCACTAACCCATGTTGAAGACTTCAAAGTGCTTTAAATGGCAGATAAATCACTACGACATAACGTTTTAAATAATAAAATATGAGTACTAATTACGTTGAAAATTATACCCAAATCGGGTGATTTTTTTTCAGCTGAAACCACAAAAGAAACAAAAAATCCAGTATATAGGTCTCTAGCCTCCCCAAACACAAAATTATAAACATTTTTCTATGGAAATGCATCATTTTTTTTTTCTCCGACTTATTGGGAAAGTTATTCATATTCAGTTGTTAATAACTGAAATCAGTTACATGAAAACATGTTCCTGCTTTAGATTCTAAACACTATTCTAAGAAAAAACACACAAAAAACTCCTTTTTGCGGAAATATGCCATTTTCGTCTTGAAATATAGAATAGTGTTAATTTTAGAACTGAAATCAGTTGCATAAATAAGCCTTTCTGTTACGTTTTAAACGTTCATCGGAACATAAACATGCAAGAAATTTCTTGCAGAAATTCATCGTTTTCATTTTTGAAAATATTATAATAAAATACATTTTAAGAAATATTAATAAAAACGTAGAGGATGTAGAATCAGGATGAACATGTTGAAACAAAATCAATCAAATTCGTATTAACATTACGAACAAAATACTGAACAACAAAAAAGTTCCAACGGCGACATACTGTAATTAAATAAATCAAAATCGTAACGAGAAAAACAAAAAAAAATAGAAACAAAAGCACATTGAACTGATCGAGTTAACTAAAAACAAGTTTACAAGGTGTTTTGGTTACTAGAGCTAGGTATAGCTAGACATTAACTTAAAAAAAGGGACTATTTCGATGACATGGAAAAAACTATCAAACGCGCTTATTGACGAGTGTACAGGGTGTCCCATTTTAGTTGAAATCATACGGTATCTCCGTTATTCGTGAAAATAAAAGGGTGCGGTTTGCATACTAAACCTTTGCCACTTTTTTGTCAAACGAAAGATGCTGTCAACAAAATTTTCATAGCCCTCTTTGTTTCTGAGCTACAGGGTCTTTTCGAAAATTTTGCAATTTGGAACAGCCCCCGTATCTCCGTTATTATGGGTGATATCGAGAAGGTGAAAACTGATTCTTGTAGAATTTTTACGTAGACTACACCACTGTATGTCTGTTTTTCTACCAAAAAAAAAATATTTTTGAAAATACTAACTAAAGTTGTTTTTTCAAATGGAACATCCTGTATATTTATAAATCAGAGGATCCGCCTTGCTATGAGCTTCTCAAATATATATATCACGCTATTTACTGCAATATTTAAAATATATAATTTTCTTGTTAGTAGGCCGTGATAAATAACAAAATCAAAATGGTATTATTTACTAAAATAGACATACACATATTAAAATTTTATTTGGAATTGATATATTTTACTTCTGAACTGTTTCCACTGAACCTCTGAATATATTTTTCTCTTTTTTATAAGGGAATTTATTATAATTGGATGGGTTTGCAAATATCTAAAAGCTTGCATTATTAAAGCATTTTCCAGGTGTTCGACATCGTATTAGTTGCCACGATATATTTCATATTTCAAAAATCCCCAATCACAAATCGAAAACGGACAAATCCGGGAATCAGGAAGGCCATCATATGGTTCCAGTTCATTAATTTGAGAAATAATAATTTAACAAAATTCTAATATTTTCGTTGTAAGTTAAGTTGTGAGGGGGAGCCCCATCTTGCTGAAAGTATATTTCACGTAAATTAGCTAAAGGAATATTTAAAAGTTCCGATAACTTCCAAGATTTACAAATAACGGTAGAAATTTAAGTTTCCCTAATATATAAAGAATTAATTAGTGGCTCTCAAAATAAAACAAGAGACAGATACCATTATACTTTTTATAATTCTTTAGTTTCTTATATGAAATATAATCTTTTAATATATATTTTTTTTAAATATTGCATTAAATAGTAAAAATAAATATAAAGTGTTATATATTTTTCAGAAGCTTATGGCAAGCCAGATCATATAATTTATAAATATACAGGGTGTTCCATTTAAGAAAACGTTAGTTCAATTCATATCTTTAAAAATATTCTTTTCGTTGAATAAAAGATTACGCCAATGTATTCTACGTAAAAAGTTCTGCAATAAGCAATTTTCACCTTCTCGATACCTTTAACAATAACAGAGATACAGGGGGTGTCCCAAATTGCAAAATTTTCAAAAAGAGCCTGTAGCTCAGGATATAAAAATTTTGTTTACGGCATCTTTGGTTTGACAAAAAAGTGGCATAGGTTTGTGCAAACCGCAC